TGTCACTTGGCCTTTTAGACCGACAGTAATTGATTCCAACTCTTGCTTTTTAATTGTCATCAAAAGGCATGAGTGGATTCCCAGTGGATTATAGTAACGGCTCTGTCTTGGAGGTGCCCAAGGGACGTGAGAACTGCTACCCTAGTCCAGGCACAGAAGAAAGATCCGGCGTGGGGCCCGGCCCACCACTGAGTAATCCTTAGATGAAAATTGGCTCACCTGCGGCAAATGAATTAGACTGGTGTTTGCAAACCAGCAGCAACAAGTTGAGCAACTCCCTCATGTTGAGAAGTGAGGAATTAATCCAGGATGCGGTCCAGTCTGTGAATAGGCAGTGGACTCAAACTGGGAAGACCCAGGAATCACTTGCCTGCCACCTGGTTGGGGAACCAACTAATAGAATTTTCGGTGTAGCTAAAAAGACAGAAATATGAAATAAAAGTGGCCTTTATTTTAAGAATGCGGAGAGAGAACCCCATGACCACTGAGGTCTGGTTTTTCTCTCTGCCAGGAACGTGGTGTGGGGGGCATACATATAACTTAGGTTTGGGATGGTGCCTAAGGGGCATTACTGATGCACAAGTAGCCCACTGGAGTTCATTTCATGCCATAGGTAAATATCCTAGGAGCGGGGAAGATGACCTCAAGATAGAGCTCCTTGGTTCCGCCTTGCAGCCTCTCAGTGCTTCAGCATCCCATCCAGGGCAAATCCTTTCAATAACTAAGAAAGGGGGAAAGAAGATGAATAGAGCAGAACAAAAATAGAGGTAAAAGAACTTTTTTTTTTTTTTTTTGTCTTTTTCATTTTTATCGGTATCAGGGATCGAACTCACGACCGCCTGCTTGCAAGGCAGGCGCTTATGCCGCTGAGCTAAATCTCCAGCCCCCAAGGTAAAAGAACTTTTAAAAAAGAAACAAAAACAAACAAACCAGCAAAGAAAAAATAAAAATAAAATGTAACATAATTAAAAAAACCAAAATTCCTCTGGTGTGCACGGAGAGCCCCAAACTCCTGGGTAACCCTGCAGAGGCTGGGGTAGAGTTAGTGCTGGATTCAGGCTGATCCTGGCCTCCAGAGGTGGGGGCTGGGGCCAGTCTTCAGGCGTGCTTTCTGTGACCCTTAGCGGCCTGCCTGCTCCTTGCCCTGTTTCTCTGGGTGTCTCTCCCAGCTACTGTGCTGCCCTCAGACAACGGCGGGGCTGCTTCCAGTCCTGTGAATAGTTGACACCTCCTGGACCTTGCATGGCCGGTGTCTGTCCTCGCAGGTCCCTTGTTGCAGGGAGGGGTGGGGTGCTGTGATGTGGTCTGACCTCTGCTCCTGCAGGTGGCGTTCCAGGCCGCTCAGTCCGGGTTCTTACTCCTCTCCCGGAGGGAGTGCTAACCTCCCACTGCTTGCTTTGCAAGGTCCCCTCCACCTGCCTCCGCCAGCCCCGTAGTCTGTAACCTCTTGTTGTAGGGCAAGGTGAGGTGGATGTTGTTGATTGCGGTGGGGTGACTTTCTGCTCCTGCCCTCACCCCCTCCTCGCATGGGACAGCCCCGGGGTGCTCATTCCTGCAGAGCAGTCCTGTTTAATTCCTGCGCGCGCGTGTCATGGAGGAGGGGCTAGCTGTTCCATTTGCTTGAGCCTGCTAGTCCCTAGAGGGTCCAGTTAGTGCACAAAAGGGAAAGTAAAGAAAGAAAAAGAAAAAAATGCGGCCAATCATCAGGGAAGGAGCGATTCACTCCTGTGTATGCCGGCGCAATTTACTGCGGGTTCTTCCATTTGGAGGAAGGCAAGAGAGGCTGGGAGCTTGTACCCCAAGACTGTCCCGCGTGGCTGGATTTAGCCACACTGTTTTAGTCTGTCCATTCCCCCTCTTTTCTTCTTTTAAGCTTCTCAGTGTGGTGGTCCCTCGCCATTTAGTCCTATATCTGAGTTTTTAGTTGAATTCTCTGAGTAGCTCTGAGTGAGGCTCCTTCTCTATTCAGCCCTGTTGAATCTGGTTGATTTCTTAATAGTTGCCTTTCTTTCAGGAATAAGATAGACTCCTAGGGTTGCTTTAATTTAATTTGCATTTCTCTAATGGACAGAGATATTGAACATTTTATATATATATCTATATATATATATATTTGTTGACCATTTGTATTTTTTCCTTTGTGAAGTGTCTGTGTATTTCTTTTGCCCATTTCTGACTGGGCCTTTAAGTGGTCTAATTTTTTTGGTTTTTTTTAGTTCTTCTTATATTCTTGGTATTAGTCCTCTATCTGAGGAGCAGCTAGCGGCACACAGTGTGTGACTCGTAAAGGTTTGACTCATCAAGATAATCAAGAAAGAGGACAAAGTAATATAATCCCAGCATGGGGGTGCTGAGGAAGGAGGATCTCAAGTTTGAGGGTAGCCTGGGCTTTGAGACCCTGTGTCAAAATACAGAAGAATAGAGGAGGGTCCTGGATGAGGGGCTCTGCTCTGTTTCCTGGGATTTCTGCCTGCCCTTCCCCTGCTGCTCTGGGGACCCCTTGCAGACACACAGGTCTTGTGCACATAACCTGGCACTCCCTTTGGGCAGTAGGCAGGCTCATCCTGGTACTTTTGTGGATATTGTATTGCAAGGGTCAGTGCTGGGTGTGGTCCAGCCTCAGAGCCCAGGAATTAACCGCCCACTCAGAAAATCCACCTTCCCTCTGGGCCTTCTGCAGTGTTCTTCAGCTGGTGGGTTCTTTTTAGTGTTGCAGAAAACAGACAGGACACGGGAAGAAAAGAAATGGCACTGGGAAGGCTTAGGAGTCCGTTTATTATACCTGTGGGCTTCTGATCAGGGTCACTCCCAAAGGGTCAGAGCCCTGCCCAGTGAGGTTTCAGGGCTTTTAAAGTAAAAATAAATGGGAGGTAGGAAGGTAGATTCAGTGTATAAGATCAGAAGTTTAGATGACAACCTGGGTTTCTAAGGGAGTTTAAACATTTCAGGTTATATTTAAGGCCATCGGTTATACAGAGGAAGAAATGTCCTGTTACATTTTAAGTTACCTAGCGAGGCCATCTGTCAGGCAAGCTTTCACAAAGAAAGAAATGTTCTGTCATCGGGTTTGTCCAGTCAAGGACACATCTGCCTGATCCTGACAGCCATCCCTGGCAAGCTTTATTACAGTTTTAAATTCCCTTTCACTGGGCCACATTTTCCTGGCTGCCAGAGAGCCAGGTTAGAGCAGGGCTGGGGAGAGGCTGACAGGAGGGGGCTGACTGGGGCAGGACAGCAGCTTCAGCTACCTTCTTGTTTTTAAAAGAAACCGAGCCTAGGCTTGTTCACTCTTGCAGCAAGTATGTATGGAACTGTGACATGCTGGGCTTGGGACACACAATCTCCACCGCCAGAATCCTTGTCTTCCTGCAGCCTCTGGTTTTAGAGGGGTACAATCACAAGTTAGTGAGGTCCTCTTGGATGGTGACAAGTGCTCTCCAGGACCAAGATGAAGTTAAGGGATAGAAAGAGACTGGGGAAGGGTTGGGGCTCCTTTGAGGATGATAACATCCCTTTTAAGAAAGGGCATTTGAGTAAAGGGTGTAAGAAGCTGGAGCCGAGCTCAGTGGTGTGTGCAAGGCCTTGGGTTTCAGCTGCAGCACTGAAACAAAGTCTGCACCTCCTGTGAGGGGTGATCTCGACTGCTCACTTGTGTGACACCTATGAATCTTTTGTGTGTGTGTGTGTGTGTGTGTGTGTCTTTTTCCTTTTTATCGGTACCGGGGATCGAACTCACAACTGCCTGCTTGCAAGGCATGTGCTTATGCCGCTGAGCTAAATCCCCAGCCGGGCCGCAGGGCCATCCCCTCTTCCCCTCTCCCCCAGCTGAAATTTAAATAACACCTATGAAATTTAAGTAACGCACACTTCTGGGTACCAGCCGGGTCCTGAGACGGGGTCATGCCTTGGGAGTGACCTGCTTCCTGGCTGTCATAACATGGGCAGCTTCCCTCCACCGCAATCTTTCATCTTGGTGTTTCTGCTTTGGAATCAATCAACCATGGATTGAAATCTCAGAAACTGTAATCTAAAATAAAGTTAGCCCTGCTTCCTCTGCCCTCTGTTCGTTTTCCATGATGGGGGCAGCCTGCGTGAAGCCTGTCTCTTGCTCTGGGAACCAGTCTGGCTCCGGGCATATTTTGCGCTTCTGGGCCTGGATTGCCTGTCTCCCCATCCCATCGGCCCTGTGCTTTCCTGACCTCTCCGGGAACCTGGGGTTTTAATCCTGCAGCAGCAGCTGTAGTAGAAATGCCTACTTGTTTCCCCTGGAGTCCAGCAGTCACCACACAAGTCTCTGACAGCCTGGGGCGAGGGTCAAGGTTTCCCCAGACAGCAAGAAAGGTCCACCTCCCATGAAGTCTTGGCATGTGGTAAACCAAGAAACCTGTCCAGCGGGGCACGGTGGAACATGCCTATACTGCTAGCTACTTCATAGGCTGAGGCAGGAAGATCACAATTTAAAAGAAAATGTGTGTGGAACGCACGTGGGGTGGGGGCAGATCTTGGATTGATCCCCATTGGAGGGAATACGGCAGAAATCTGTTTACTTGTGAATGTTCTCTAGCCCCTTCACCTCCACTTCCTGTGCAGTAGTTTCCTCCTCTCACCCCCCCCCCGCCCGGCCTCAGTTTCCTTAGCAGGTGAGCAGGGCGGGGGCTGCTTCGCTCTTCCTCGCCCACTCTCTCCTTCACGGCGGTTGCACCCTGCCGGGCTGCCGCGCAGACCAGTGACTGCGGAGGGCGGTCCGGCGGTGGCACCCAGTCAGCGGCGGCGGCAAGGTCGCGGCTGGAGCTCTGCGCTCGCCGCAGCCCGGCTCCGGGCGGCGGCTCATCCTCCCGCCGGTGCCTGGCGCCCGGCTCCGCGGGCGTGCCGTGCCGTGCCGTGCCGTGCCGGTGGGAGCCGAGCGGCCCGGGGCTGTGGCGGGCCGACCTGGGGCGCCCCGGGGGACGGGGCACTGCAGGCATCGGTGCCCACGCGGCACACGTGGGGCTCTCGGCAGGCCCGGCTGAGCTGGCAGCATGGGGCAGGCGGGCTGGAAGGGGCTTCTCCAGTCAGCGTTCGACTATAAGACAGAAAAGTATGTGATCGCCAAGAACAAGAAGGTCGGGCTGCTCTACCGACTACTGCAGCTTACCATCGTGCTGTACCTGATCGTGTGAGTCCCGGGAGCTTCGGAAGGCTGGGGGAGGGGCTCAGCTGGGGAAGGGGCTCAGCTGGAGGAGAGGGTACAGCTGGGGGAGAGGGAAAGAGGGGACGGCCCTGCGGCCCGGCCTTCTCGGGGTCCCGCAAGTTGCCCGTGGCTTTCCCTGAGATCCTCTCCAAGAAGAGGACCCTCCCTGGGTCCTTGGGTTTAGGGTGGGGGTACGCAGGGCCCCTCTACTTGCCCGTGGGGCGGCTGGATTCCCATGGGCAGCTCCTTCCCCAGGGACTGGAGCCCTGTGGATGTAGGGGTAGGAAGGGGCAGGGAGGGGGCTGGGTTACAGCTGTCACCCCAGAGGCCTCCCTGGGCCTGACAGTTGGCCCAGGAATCCAGTAGGTTATTTATAATCACTGAGCGTCACTGTCTTACTCTGGGCTAGGGACAACTCATCAGTCTGGAGTGTCCCTGAACTCTCTTCCGGTCAGCTCACCTACCCGTGACTGGCTTCTTGTATCCAGCTGGGTCCTGCCCAGAGGCTTTAACCCCGCAGCGCTGCAGCGCCCTTCCCACATCCCCATCCCATCCAGCAGGAGCTGGTGCTCCAGGGAAGGCAGCCCCGGCCTCTCCTGCTCTCTCCTAGAGCTGGGCACTCGGAATTCCCAGACTTCCGAACCTCAGACACCTGCTGCCTGCCAAGTCAGAGCCTTTGTCGGTGCTGTTCCATCCACAGGCACTCTATTCCATCCTCCAGATCTGGGCGCCCAAGCAACTGCCTCCCTCGACTCTTCCCTGCCTTTCCCGAAGGGAGTTTAGTTTCACGCTCATCTGTGCTTGTGGAGGTGGGGCTTTGCCTCTGTACTAGTCGGGGGCTGCCCTGGAGGTGGAGTCCTGGCGTGGTTTCTCTGGGGAGTGCATGTGGAGTGAGTGAATTAGTGAAGCTGCGCCTTGAATATTTCCCTAAGGTCGCTGCCTGTGGCAGGCCCAACACTTTGGTCCCTCCTAGAATGACTGGTTTGCCGGGCCATGGTGCTCTCAGAGTTCCCTGGAGATGTGACCGCCTGGGGCTAAGGGCACTCCAGCGCTGCCCTAGAGATGAGGGGAGGGACTCACACTGGTTGGTACCTGCTCTACCCAGCACGTCCACTGGCATGTCCACTGGCATGTGGGGAGGTGCCAGTGTCCCAACCACTGGCTGCATGACCTCAGGCAGGTGGCTCCCCTCCTTGCCGTTTGCCTCAGTCTCCCCAACCTCACCATGTTAGCATGGACAGTCTCTCACACCAGCAGCAGTAATGCACTAAGGAGCTGTGTCCATTGGGGTCTTCTGTGCCCATAGTCGACCTGTGCTGTCTCATTTTAAAGTATCTTTTTTTTTTTTTTTTTTGACTTTTTCCTTTTTATTGGTACCGGGGATCGAACTCACGACTGCCTGCTTGCAAGGCAGGCGCTTATGCTGCTGAGCCAAATCCCCAGCCCCTAAAGTATCTTTTGTGTTTTGACATTTTTAGGCACACAAAAGATAGAATTGTACAAAACATTATTTCCCTCTACCAGGGAGCCCTGAAATGTTAGCATCTTGCTATTTATTTGTATGGTCCTTCTCCCTTTATCTGCGCACCTGTTCGTATTTATGCAGTTTCTCCTGAGTGGATTACAGACATTGGAGACTTGTGTCCACATTTCTGTAAGCCGTGAGTCTGAGATCAGGGTGCCCACACGGCCTGGTGCTGGTGAGGGCACCACGGGGCAGGGAGAGAAAGATTCTCCTCTTTAGCCAGTACAAGTATGAAAATCGAGGTGTTGTCATTAAATAATGTTATCTAACCTGCACACTTTTGTACATTGTTTCAATAATTACCTATGGCAAAAAAAAAAATCGTATTGTGCCTTGTATCCAGTTTTCATGCTTTCTTAGCCTTCTTTATATGAACATTCCCATCATCCCAAAAAGAAAACCTGCAGTTACCACCAGTCAGTCCCAATTCTCCTCCCTGTCATTTCCTGGCAACCACCCGTCTACTTTCTGCCTCTCTGGATTGGCCTATCTGGACTTTTATATAAATGACTCACACAGTGCATGGTTTGGGGGCCTCACTTCCTTCACTTAGCATAGTGTTTCCAAGGCCTGTGTATGTTGTAGCTGTGTCTTTACTTGGTTCCTTTTCCTGGCAAAATAATGTCCCATGTTATGGGCAGGTGACATTTGGTTGGTTTATCCACCAGTTGATGGACGTGGATTATTTCCACTTCCTATTAAGAGTGATGCTGCTAATAATATTCTCATAAAATTTTGGTGTGAGTGTTTTCCATTCTCTTCAGAATATCCTTCGGTGTAGAAGTGCTTGGCTGTATGCAGACTCAGTCTTTAACCTCTTGAGAAACTTCCAAGCCAGTTTCCACAGAAGCTGCCCCATTCTCTATGCTCACTCACAATGTGTGAGGATTCTAATGTCTCTACTTCCCTACCAATCTGTGCTGTTTATTCTTTAAAAATGCTGCTTTTTAAAAGCTCATTCTCAGTGTGAATTAAAAAATGATGCTTTTAATATGAATGTTGTGATGCATAACTATAAGCACCCAGGAGGCTAAGACCAGAGGATCGCTGCAAGTTTGAACCAGCCTGGACCAAATAGGAGATCTTGTCTCAAAAAATATGTATATTCTTAAAGTTGTTCTAGAGAGTATGAAATGATATATATATTTTTTTGAGATAGGGTCTTGCTATGTAGTTCAAGCTGCCTTGAACTCACTATGTAGTTCAGGCTGGCCTCAAACTCATGGTGATCCTCTTGCCTCAGCCTCCTAAATGCTGAGATTATGGCCATGCACCACCACACACAGCTCATGTCAGGGTTTTGAGTTGCCTTGACAATTTTTTTCAAGAAATTTGTAACCAAATTCTCTGCAATTTTTTTTTTCGAGACAGGATCTTGCTGTATTGTCCAGATTGGACCAGAACTGATGTTTTTCCCACCTCAGCCTTCTGAGTAGCAAGGATTACAAGCCTGTGCGACTGAACCCAGCTTTTGCCCATTTAAAACCTGAATTACTTAGCTTCTTACAATTGTAGTTTAGGGCTGGGAATGTAGCTCAGTGGCCCAGTGCCTACCTGGCAAGTGTAAGGCCCTGAGATCTGTTCTTGGTACCCCCTCAAAAATTGTTATATTTTAAAGGTTCTTTATCAGGTAGGGTACTCCTTGTGTGTGTGTGTGTGTGTGTGTGTGTGTGTGTGTGTGTGTGTGTGTGTTTTGGTTTTTGCTTGAGACAGGGTCTTGCCATGTAGATCAGCCTGGCCTTCAACTTACTATGTAGCCTAGGCTGATCTCAAACTCACAGCAATCCTCCTGTCTCAGCCTCCCAAGTGCTAGGATTACAGGTGTGTGCTAGCATGGCAGGTGTGCACTGGCACACCTGGCTCAGATAAGGTACTCTGGAGGTTGCCTTTTTACTTTCTTCATGGGCAAACGTTTTTAATGTTGATGAAGCACTAATTTACCTACTTTTTCTTTTGCCTCTTGTGTTTTGGGGAACAAAGAACGCGGGGTTTTGTACCTTATTTCACAGGCTGATCCTCAGTTTGGATTGCTCTGAGGCTCCCTCATGACTGGTTTCAGGTTAGGCACCATCTGTCATGTGAGCACCCTCAGGTTTGTGACTGGGGGACACTGTTATTCAGTTGGGAAACTCACATTCTCCAGGTTAACCAGCTTGCCTGGGGTCACGCTAGGTCTGCAGCTTTCAGTCCCAGCCTGCCCACTTCTGAAACCAGTGCGGGTTACCCCTTTTGAGCCTCTGCCTTGGGGGCTGCTTGCTGCCTCTGCTGCTTGCAGGATTGGGTTTCATGCAGCAGTGGTGACTGTGACCCCTGCCCAGGAACTGGTCAGACAGCTGGAGCCCTGAGCCTGGCTCCACCTTACCTCGGGTGGAGATGCTGTGATTCCCACCATGGCCTGGGCCCAGGAAAAGTCCCTGAGGGCAGCAGTGTGGCTGAGGTTCACCTGCTGACCCCTTCCTGCAGATGGGTGTTCGTGATAAAGAAGGGTTATCAAGACACTGACACCTCCCTGCAGAGTGCTGTGGTCACCAAAGTCAAGGGCGTGGCCTACACCAACACCTCAGAGCTGGGGGAGCGTCTCTGGGACGTCGCAGACTACGTCATCCCCCCCCAGGTCTGAGCCCTGTCTATCCCTAGTGCTCAGGCTGGTGGGGCCTGGCTTGGGGTGGGTCACACAGAAAGCTGCTTGGGTGCCCGGGGACCTCTATCCCATGTCTTCCGTGGTCCAGGGTATAGATGGAGGCCCCATCCACATCCCCTTTCCATGCCAAACCCCTGCCCTCCTTTTCTGTGCCCGGCATGCCAACTCTGTCCCCAGGTACCTGAGTCTGGTGGGACCTGTGGAGACCAGTGAACCCTCACGTCCTTCTGATCAGATACCTGGGGACAAAGAGCTCCTTCCTTATAGGCCATTGCCCCTCAGAATAGCTTCCCAGTTTGTTCGGTGGCCTCAGGGCACAGCCAGGACAACTCCATTACTGTCTTTTCTCTTCCCATGTCTAGGCTTGGACTCTGGGGGTGCGATCAGAATAGGAATTCAAGAGGCAAGGGCACTTGGGGTTTGCATGCAAAGTCCACCAATTTCGTGACCCCATTTCCAGTCATGCAGGGGCCCCAGCCCTTGCCAGGGAGCCCTGGGAAGGAGGGTCTTCAAGAGGGTTGGAGGAGGCCCTTATCCCCTCTGTGATTCCGCAGGGAGATAATGTCTTCTTTGTGATCACTAACCTGATCGTGACCGCCAACCAGCGGCAGAGCACCTGTGCTGAGGTTTGTTTGGCGTAGGGAGTGGAGGAGGGTGTGGAAGCTGCCAGCTATGGTAGGGTCGATCCTTTTACTGAAGCAGGGGCTTCTGTGTGTTCCAAGGATCCCTGGGGTCTGCTTGCACTGACTGGTGCACATGTCTGGCGTGTGGGGGAGAAGCAGGCTCTCAAAGGGTGTATGGTCCGGACCTGGGAGGGACTCCTCATGTAGCCCCTGGGTGGTGTGTGGCCCTGAGTTAGGGCTCTCCACGCAGGGACCTTTCTCTTCCGGCAGCGTGAAGGCATTCCTGATGGCATGTGTTCTGAGGACCACGACTGCCCTGCTGGGGAGCCTGTTAGAGCTGGAAATGGTGAGAGCTGGGGACAGGATGGCCACAGCTGGAGGAGGGCACAGGGGGTCTGGAGCTGGGAGGCTCCTGGCCTTTTTTCTGTCCCACCCCTGCAGGAGTGAAGACTGGCCGCTGTCTGCGGGTGGGGAACTCGACCAGGGGCACCTGTGAGATCTTTGCCTGGTGCCCAGTGGAGACACAGTCCAGGCCCAGGTGAGTGGCACAGCCTCAGGCCCCTAAATGAGTTGCCAGTTGGAGTCCACTTGAGGGTGGAGATGTGCCAATCCCAGGGGAGCTTCATTCTGAGAGAGATACCAACGCATTCCAGAGAGATCAGAAGATTGACCCAGCACAAGCAAATGGATGGTCCTTTGCAGCGGCTGAGGGTGGCCAGGGAATGTGCTTCCCGCACTGCCCTAGGCCCGAGGGAGGTATGTGTGGGGGCAGGCCTTCTGCTCAGGCTGTCTTGGGTTGCTTTTCAGGAAGCCACTCCTGAGGGACGCTGAAGACTTCACCATTTTCATAAAGAACTATATTCGTTTTCCCAAGTTCAATTTCTCCAAGTAGGTGGGGCTTGGCTGCTGGGGCCCAGGGGTGGAGCCTTGGTGGGGCCTCTCTGGGGATGTGTGTGGGTGCATGTGCATGTTTATGTGGCCGACCTGAGTGGCCCCACAGTGGGGGCAGACTGTGTTCTCAGTTCTCAGTTCGCACTGAGAATAGAAAGTGAGAGGAAGGGGTTAGGTCGTATGAGGGGTCCCTGACTTGTCTTCATCCACTGCTTCTACCCAGGGCCAATGTACTAGAGACAAAGAGCAAAGATTTTCTGAAATCCTGTCGCTTTGGCCCCAACAATCACTATTGTCCCATCTTCCGGCTGGGGTCCGTGGTCCAGTGGGCAGGGAGCAGCTTTCAGGACATTGCCCTGGAGGTGAGTAGTGTGTGTCACCCCTGGGACCTGGACTGTGCAGTGATGAGACAATAGGGCGGGAATGGCCTGCAAAGCCACCTGCCTCCAAGAGCTCACTAAGCCATCAGCTCCAATGGAGTTGCAAGGAGCCCTGTGGGCACCCTAGTTCATTTGTCAAGTGCCTGTCTGTAAAGCAGTTAGCTCCCTGCTCTCCTGAAGGATGAAGGGAGATACACTGCAGATGGGGTGAGGCAACTTTCTTCTCCTGCAGGAGTCTTCCTAAAGACCAGCTCAACAGGCTGTCTCTGGCCTGAGCCCTTCCTCTGCCTCATTCATTTCTGGTGAAGGGCTGGCCTCCATCTGTCTGCAGATAACTCTGGGCACTGATTCTTGTCTCCTGTATCAAGGGAGGTGTGATAGGAATTCACATCGAGTGGAACTGCGACCTCGACAGAGCTGCCTCTGAGTGCCATCCGCGCTATTATTTTAACCGTCTGGACGACAAACATGTAAAATCTGTTTCTTCTGGGTACAACTTCAGGTAATTGCTGCCTTGTGCCACTGTGTGGCCCTGACTGTATTTGGCATCCTCCCCTGGCCCCCCAGCACTGTGATACCCTGGTCTAGGGTGGGAGTCAGCAGGAGGTACGGGAGTCACAGCCGAAGTGTGGAGAGGACCCAGCAGAGTGGTGAGGACAGCATAGTGAATGAACACCTCTGGCCAGGAGAAGGATGTCTGTTCCTGCCCTGTTCTTGCCATGGTACCCTACAGGTTGGCTCGGTGCAGTGGGAAAGGCCTGGCACCATGGCAAAGGGTTTGGATGCCTCTTCATGGTTGGCGCAGTTGTGAGGGTCAGTGGCCCTCTCTCCGGGCGGCTGAGAGCTGGGATACTGGGAGTGCTTAGAAGCCCCCAAAGCAGCCACATCCGTGCTGCCAAGGCCGGAGAGCACAGGCAGGCTACGCCTTCTTCTAGGCCCTCTCTCCCCCAGGTTTGCCAGATACTACCGAGACTCAGCCGGGGTGGAATTCCGCAACCTGATGAAAGCCTATGGGATCCGCATTGATGTTATAGTTAATGGAAAGGTGTGTGGGTGGCCTTCCCATTTGGAGGCAGGCATGGCGGGCGGCGGGCGGGCAGGTGGGAGTGACTCTGGGGAAGGGCTGTTTATTGCACTCACTCACCTACCTCCTCTCTGTCTTCCAGGCAGGGAAGTTCAGCATCGTTCCCACAGTCATCAATGTGGGCTCCGGGGTGGCGCTCATGGGTGCTGTGAGTACCCCTCCCCAATACATGTACCCTCTGAGCAGGGAGAGGGGGCTGAGTGACTACCTGGGAGGAACATGTCTCAAACCCCAGACAGCAGGGCGGCTGGTGAGGTCAGAATGGATGTGGACCAAGAGGGCTTTCTGGGATTCTGTGCCCTGTCGGCTGTCCCCAAGTGGTAGTGACTGCCCAAAGCACCCCCTGCTATGGGTCTCTTGTCTCACGTAAGCTGGAAATCAGACATGGTCCAGTTGTTTAGCTGCTTCTTCACTGCTGACAACTGTCACCGTTGTCCATCTTCTTCAGGGTCCTCAGAAGGGGAGGGTCCCCATATGGGTCACCATAACATTACCACTGGCTAAGGGTTCTTTTGCTCAATTCATATAGAAATTATAGGCTGGAAAAGGATGATGATAGCCCTGGGCTTTGAATGGCAGCAGCTCTTTTCTGTTGGTGTTAGCAGCCCTCCCGGGTGCTTGAAGCGGGAGTCACTGAAAGGCTTTGAGAACGCTTCCAGCCATAAGAGGTGGCAGCTCTAGGCAACTCTCTACTGCTTTTCGTCATTCTCTGCTTGCTGGCTGCCTTCAGCGCTGCAGCCCTGGCCACTTTCAGTGCCAGCAGCCTCTGGTGTTACCAGCTCTTAGTGTATTAGCTCAGTGTGCTCTGCTTGAGGTAGAAATCATGAATAAGCAAAAATATGTCATTCAAAAGAGGCTTTATTAGGACTCCTGCTGCAGCATAAAGAAAAACATTGCACAGAATGACCCTTTGTGGGTATGGAGAATAAATAGGGGGAGAAAGGTAACTGGTGCTTTATGTTTGGTCATGGGTGGGAGGGTGCCCTTTAGGGCCTGTCTAAGGAGGGCTTAAGAGGGGTAGAATCATCCACAGAGGCTGCCCAGCAGAATTTGGCAGAGATGCTGTAGGGCCTGTTCATCTGGGGTAAGTCTGTGACCAAAGCTTGCTGCATCCAAAGCAAATGTCTCTGGAGTGGCTGTGGGGCATCTGACATAACCCGCTGGCCGACCATGTTTGGGCAGCCATGGAAGAAAAAGAGAAGTATTTCTTGGGGAGCATCGGGTGCATCTTTCCTGTCACCTATCACTCCGGAGCTGTGTGGGTCAGCCCCAGCCATGGTGTGGGTTGGGGACCTCTGATCCCTTAGGGTGAACTTCTCAAGCCTCCCTCTCCACTCTGCCAAAGGCTATACCCTGGGTTTCTCAGCCCTGGCACTAATGATGCTTGGGCCCAGTGATGCGTTGTTTTGGGTGCTGTCCTGTGCATTGTACTGTGTTTAAGAGAATCCCTGCCCTTTCCTCACTCAGTGTCAGTGGCACCTTTCCCGCAGTCCTGATGCCTGAAATGCATTTGACTGAGAATCAGTGGGTTAAAAGGAAGAGGCAGGCGATCCTGCCCTGCCTTCTTCCCTCAGAGGTAGCTCTTCAGCTGCAAGAAAGTCATGACTTGGGGTACGGAAAGTTTCTTCCAAATGCCTGGAGTGCCTTTGCACATCTGGAAGAGGTTTCAGTACAGGAGAATGGTCAGTGGGCACCTCATCCACACCTCAGCAAGTTCTGGCCAGCTCTATGTGGGCAGCCTCAGAAACCCCACTGGAGGATTTTGTCAGAACTCAGGCATGACTTTTTGTGCAGTTCAGGAAACTGGGTCCTATAACAGAACCAGTGAGGCTGTGCTCCTGAGAGTGATTAAGAGTGAGCCCTAAATGTGTTCCTCCTAACGGCCATCAGTCATTTAGGGGTCCCCCCCCCAGTGTGTGTATATGCTTTTTCTTATGATGTGGGCAAAATCTGGACATCTGGGGACGCACCTGTCAAAGGAAGGCATTAGTGCAGAGAAAAGGTGGTAATGGAGGCTGAGAGGGGGAGGAGGAGCACAGAATTGGTAAGTGACATTTTCGGTCTCTGGGGACCGGTTCACCTCTCCTGATATTCTCCATTAGCCCCTTGTGGCCACGCCTTTCCTCATTCAGGGCTGTCAATCCTGTGCTGTGGGTGGCGTCTCCCTCTACTGGAGAGGATGGGCATTGCACACAGCCTGATTGACTCGAACTGGGGTTCAGGGGTGTGGCGCCCAGCTGGGTGAGCTCTGGCTGCCTCTCCCTTGATCACAGCAGGAGCATCCCTGATGGTTAGACTGAGACCCTCTCAGGCCATCTTGCAGTAATTGGCAGAGAACTCTTCTAAAATGCTGCTATTCTGTCATGCCTTCCCCTACCTAAAGGACAAGGAAAATGCCTTGAAAATGATGTCAAACTGCTGATTCTCAACCACTTTTCTAAAAAGTGCATTTCATTCTTCCCCTGCAGGCTCTGGGGCGTTTCTCAGGCAGGATTAGCTCGCTTCTCTCTCTGTGATGCCCTTTCCAGCCTTTGCATAAATTGTTCAGCCCTCAAGGTTCAATAATAATAATAATAATAATAATAATAATAATAATAAAAGACCAGTTGTCCCCCTTAGTGGGGTAAAGCCCTGTCTTCTGCTCATCTCCCCATTACAGGGTCATCACTCTGTTACACTTTACTGGCTTCTTACCTCCTCTGGCAGAGGGTGGGTCCCTGGAAGGTCTCTGTGGTCCACATCCTCCTTAGAGCTGAGGCTCAGCAAAAGTGCATTGAGAACTGGTTGGGTGGGGTCCGGGTAGCATGGGGGTTTGGCCGGAGTGGTCAGGCTCCGGTGTGGCTTTGTGTCCACCATGGACCAGCTCTGTTGCCCTGAATGAGGTCCCCTTGTCTCATGGGTAAAATGGGGACTTGGTTCCCACATATGGGTCATTAGAGGATCAAATGGTATGAAGCCTAGGATTCTGAATCCGGGCCCCCTACTCTCTTGCAGGGGGCTTTCTTCTGTGACCTGGTACTCATCTACATCATCAAAAAGAGGGAGTTTTACCGTGACAAAAAGTACGAGGAAGTGAGGTCAGTTCGTTTCCCCCCACAAAGTGGAAGGGGTCTGTGAGGAGGTCCCCTTCTCCTCAGCTTAGAGCTCTCCCCTGGTGAGCGGGTGCTGGCTTCTGAGTGTGGAGAAGGTGGGTGAAGTGTTGGGGAGGTGACTTATTCCTAAGACCTGCTCCACGAGGCTGGATTCTACCTAATGACAGCCCAAAGGAAAGGCTGCTCCAGGCTGTCAGCAGACCTGGAACATAGGCTCTGCTGCCTCTCGCTGTGTGATTTTGGAAAGTCCCAGGCTTCTCTGCTGCTGGACGAATGAGGGCCGCGGTGACAAGGCAAGCCCAGCTAATGTCCCAGGAAGGGCCTGCAGGGTGGACTTCGGGTAACAGATTGTGTCCTGTCCAGGGGCCGAGAGGGGGCGGCTCAGGAGGCTGAGGCCAAGGCGCTGGAGCAGGGCCAGACGGAGGAGGAGCAGCAGGAGGGGGAGAGGCAGGAGGAGCAGCCTCAGACCCTGCCGCAGAGCAGCAGCTGGAAGGGGAACGGCAGCGTGTGCGGGAAGCTGCCCCGTTCCGCCAGGTGAGGCGCTGTGGGCAGAGCCGTGAGGACGCGCGCTCCGCGGTTGCTGCGACACAAGACCAGGACCTGGGAGATCCCTCCTTGCTAGATTCGGGTTGCGGGGGTGCTGCTAGTGTTGTTCCCGGCCCCTAGCTCCTGGGTCCCCTTGCAAATTAAGCGTCCTGCCCTGTGGTGCCCGCTCCACGTCGTAATGATTCTCCCGATGCCTCCTCAGGCCTGTGCTGCCCTGGGCTATTTGTAGATTTTAACTCATTTAAGTAACTTGATGAGGTGGACACAGATATGCGCTATTTTACTAGTGAGGACATTGAGGCACAGAACGATTGAACAGCTTGCTCAGTATATGGCAGAGGTGGGATTTGGATCCGCACAGGGTTTTTAGAGTGCAGTTCTCCGGTGTGTTTCCCTGCTTGGTCCAACCCCTCAGCCTCTACCCCCACTATCAGATTACTCTGGAGCCCCTGTTCTCTGGACTTGGGCCCTGCCTGGTCTGCCTGGCCACTTCTGCAGATGTGTCCTTCGCCTTGGCTGGAGGAGACCTGGGCTGAGAAAGGAAGCCCGTGTTTGGGCTTCTCTGCTTCTGCTTCACTGTGCTCTGGGCTCCATTATCCTTTCTTCTTCCTTTCTTCTTCTCCTAGTGGGGCTGGATACACGGGCTGCTCCTGTTCATTTATATTAGGGTTCGGTGACCCCTCCTCTCCTTGTAAACCACATCCGGGGAAGTTCTGTGGCATGGACCAGCTTTTCCTCCAGCCCCCAGTTTTCATTCCTTGCTGAGTCAGGGTTTGGCAGCCTCCAGGTGGGGGCTGGGCCCATGGGGAGAGGCCTAGAAATAGCGTGGGATGCAGCAGAAGGAGGAGGGTGCAGGCTGGAGGGTGGGGTACAGCAGCTGACAGGAGGTCTGGGGACCTGGATAGGGTGGTCTTGAACCCGCAACCCTCTGAATGCTTCTTGAGCTGACTGTCCTTGCGTGGGCACCCATCTGAGCATCTGTACCTTGCTTGTCTTGGTCCAGTCTTGTGCATCGCTCACTGGGGGAGGCTCTGTGCTCATGGGCCTGGGCCACGGATCCCACAGGTGGTGCTGCCTGTTGCTGGGTGGCTCCAGAGTCCCTCTGCTTCCATGTGTTTGGACTGCAGCCAGGAACCCCTGATGGTTTGCCCCTTTCTCCAAATGCTGATGACCTACTGTGCGGCCAGTGAGCATGGCTGCTGCATGGCTCCCCTTCAGGGAGGGGACCCAGCAACGGACAGAGTACCCAACAGCTCTCCCCACACTCCCCAGGACCAGCGCCTTAAAGCATGCCAAGGCGAATGTACAGCAACTGCAGAGTCTGCAGACAGTGGGGACGTAGCCAAGGCTGTTGGCCGAGAGCAGGATTTGAAGATCTTGGGCCAGCACAGTCTGCAGCTCTGAACTGGGAAGATGCATCCTCATGCCTGCGCGAGACAGAGGCTTCTGGGAACAGCCGTTTCTGTTACACTTTGGGATTCTGCTATGAGCTTTTTTTTGTCAGGAGAGGAGCCTCCTGGTAGCCCGAGTGGCCCAAATCCAGATGAGGAGACCCTGGCTGGGGCTGGCACCCAGGGAAGGGAGCAGGCCAGGGGCCTGGGTGGTACTAGAGTGTCTTAATTTTTCCTGAGAACCTGATTGGACACTCATTTATTCATCCGTACAGTAAACACTGATGCATGTTTCATGCTGGGCCTTGTCTAAGAGATGCTTTAATAAGATGCTGACGTAGCTCTCAGGAGGGGGACAAAATAACTCCTTCTAAAACCAACAGAGAGATCACAGACAGGGCTGGCCATTGTGGCCTTCTTCTGGCCTCTATCGGAGACTTTTACAAGTCCCAGTAGAGAATGTTGGTTGCTCAGAAAAAGATGTGGACTATATCAAGGGGACACCTGGCCTTCCTTTAGGTAGAAAAGATAAAGGTGGCCAAGGAGGCAGCTGGAAAAGGAATGGACCAGTCGTCTGGCTCCTACGAGGAGAGGCCAACTGCTAGGGCTTCTAGGTAAGGTGGGCAGGGGAACCAGGGAAGCTCAGCTCCATCTGACCTGATAGGTGCATTGCCTGCAAGATTTTTTTTCTTGCTGTTGTCTGGGGCTGGGTGACACTGGCTGGCTTTGCCTCCTCTGTCCTCAGGGGCTTGATCTAAAGTGTTCATGAGATAAAGGATGGCATTGTCTCAGCAGCATAAAGTTGTTAGGGAGCCCCCTCCCCCACCTCAAGATCCCCACCCCATCTCCCTCTCAGTGGCACAGAGCCAGCCCTGCGACTCCAAGTTGGGTCCCTGGACCAGCAGCATGAGCATCACCAGAGGACTGTTAGAAATGCAGTTTCAGCTTCTTCTTCATCTCACCAAACCAGATCCTGTGTCTTCCTAAGATCTTGAGGTGATCTAAGAGCACAGTTAGGGACGCCCTGGTTCTCAAGGGAAACAGGTAGTGTTATGCACTACCTGAGACCAGAGGACCCCTCTCCCACCCCTACCCCAGCCCAAAAGGAGCACTGTGTTCAATTATTTGAATTAAAACATTCTGACTAGGCAATACTTATATGATTCAAAATTTAAAAGGTATAAGAGAATAGGAATAGTGTCCCTCCTACCTCTGTTCTCCATGGGCAAACAGCATTACCAATTCCAAAAGACTCCCTTCGTGTGCTGAGAATCCATTTCATTATCTATACGATCACCAAGGAAATAATGTTTTCCTGTAACGCTGAGTCTTCTGTCAGAGATGGACATGAATACACTTGAATACTGGACTTGGAGTCAGCCGCCTCACTTCTCCTCATCTCATTTTATGGGAAGGGTCCCTTGGGAAACTGAGGACTCATTACTGTATCTACATGGCCTGGCATGACAGTCCTTAAGTCCTCCCACCCCGTGAGTGCTGGGCACTGTTTGGGTAGCTTGTGGCTTCCTGGGCACCAGGGGCCATCTTTGGAATGGGCACCTTCTGCATCAATGGGGTAATGAGCAACCTTCCATTAGGGCCTTTAGAGACAGCTGTCAAAAGGGGCTTGACACAAGTTGCTGCCACTGGGGCAGAATGGTATAGTGCCCAGAGCAGGACCTGTTGCAGGGAAACTGGCTTCCTGATCCTGGGCTACCCAGGAAGCCGGAGTCAATACGCCCACCTGCTCTCTGAATAGAAAGTGGAAACTCCAGGTGGTCTACTTCAGTGTCTTACTTCCTCACTGAAGCCAGCTGGGCTTTAGAATCCAGCATGTTGTTTTTGTGTTTGGGAGGAAGTAAGAGAGGTGGTGTCACAGCTGCTTAGGGATTGGTCTGGTTTCTTTTAAATGATGTTAAAATGGCACGGTGGCAGCCATATAACCTGGGGATAGTCTTATCATTTGTTTTGTAGTGGAGAAATATGCTTTCATACAGTCATTTGTTTTGGTCAGTCAATAAGTATTTGCTGAGTCTCTAACACATCAGCTGTTGGACTAAGCGCAGGAGTGAGCACCACACCTGCTCCTTGAGCTCCAGTGCTTCCTGTCTGGTGGGAGTTAAACCTTAACCATGTGGTCTGGCCTAGCATTGGGGACAAAGTAGGCTGCTTGGAGATTTTCAACCAGAAGTAGCTAAAGGAGGTTTCTCCAATGAAATGATTCAAGTTGACATCTCTTAAGTTAGAAGCAGCCTACGAGATGGGGAGGTAGTCCAGTAAGGGTCCCACACTTGAAAAGAGGTGACTTTCATGAGGGTTGCCCCGGTGGACCTATTACCTCAGAGGACTCACTCGACCTCATTGTTCCTTGGAGGCCAGCGGAGCTGGCTCGAGGGCTCTCCCGTTCCCTGTCAAGAGTCCCGTGCTCAAAAAGGCTAGGGTTTGCAGTCCAGCTTCTGGACAGTGCTGCACACTCTGCCCAGCTGCCTTGCCTTTTGCATAGCCTGTCCCTCTCCCCCCAGACCTGCTGCAAAATCTTGGTGCAAGAGTGAGGGCTCACTAATGTTAGGGAAATGGGCTTTTAAATGGGGCAAAGTGAAACAGGAACTCCTTCCAAACTCAGGGAAAGCCTCTTTCTGGGTACTAGTGGTTTGGCTGGGAAGATGGAAAGTGCCTCTCGAGCCCCCTCTGCCCTTCCTGGAGATGGAACACATGTCTGCTAAGCATGCCCTCTACACTGAGCTATACCCACAGCCCAAGAGCTCCTTCTAATTTTGATATCCAGGATCACATAAATCACCTACGTTTACAGTCAGGTCCCACGCTAACCTGGTCCACCAAGTATACCCCTAACTGTTGAGTTGGCCCAAAAGTGTGGGCGCATCACAGTGGTGACCAACAGGAAGTTTACACACTGAGTACTATCAGTGTGGTACCACAGGGACCAGCAATAAAAGAGCAAAGTGCCATCCGTGCCCAGTGCTGGGGCAGTTTTGGCCGCCTGCCCATTTCTTCCTTTCTCAATGAGGAACCAGATAAAAAAAGGGGAACACAACTTCCTCTAGATGTCTCTGAGCATCCCACCTAAGGACTACCATGACCCACAGAGTTCCTAAGTTCCCCCACTTGGGATGGCACCTGGGTACCTGGGAAAGGACTCCACTTGGTTGCAACATGCCCTTCCCACAAGGGACACGACTTCCCCCACAGCATTCTCCAGTGGACCCAAGAACACTTTCTCTTCAAAAGGCTCCACATTCTGCCAGCTACTTCCCCTTAGCCAGTACACTGAACTAAAGCGGGGAGCATGACAGATACTTTCTGGGACCTGCTCAAGATATGTATTTTCTGACATTTGGTTTAAAGCAATAAAAAGCATCAATTTTAAACGTGTCCTGGTATCTTTTCCCCTTGTATTTCACAGTTGTTTCATGTCTTAGGGGAAGATATAAGGAAAGAAACTGAGAGGCAGATGCAAAAACTAGTATCCACATATATTATGTTCTGTGTTACCTTGCAAAGAAACTTAAGTATGGAAATTATTTTAAATAAACCAACAAGAAGTTATGAAGGCATTAATAAACCTGGTACTTTCCATTCCACTGTTACCTAACTCTGAAAAGCACTTAGAATGGTTATCTTCTTTCCTAGATTATAAAATTCTTAAAATGCCAGGGATTCAGCTTAGCAGCTCAAGCACTTGCCTGTTAAGTGTGATGTTGTGAGTTCAGTCCCTGGTACCAAAAAAAAAGAGAAAAAAATTCTCTAAAACTCTTCTCATTTATAAATGTGAAGATATTCACTGCAGTGTAACAGGGAACATTTTCAACTAATTTACTACTCAACAATAGGAAAATCAGGTCAATTTAAATAAATCAGCTCACCGCCAATAATCCTCTCTCCTTTCCCCTCTTCCTACACCAACAGGTCTGTTCTTTTTTTCTGCTAAGGAACAAACCCCCTTCTCAGGTCAGAGGACTGACATGCAAATCATGTAAGGACTTTAAGTGGTGGACAGAGAAAGGGTTATGATCAGGAGGCAAAGCTGTGACCTCAGATTCTTTGTGGCCTGAGATAGAAACATGTGGTCCAGAACCAAAAATGGAATTCAGGTCTGAGTCCCAGATCCACTTCAGTTAGTGGGCACAAACCACAGACAAGTGTGTACAGGGGACTCTGTTCAAGCAGTCAGATTCTCTGCCAATCTAAAACTGACTCTCTTTTAAAAAATTAACTTACTGAGACACAGTCTTACTATGTAGTTGAGGCTGGCCTTGAACTAACAGTGATCCTCCTGCTTTAATATCCTGAATGCTAGGATTACAGGTGTGCACCACCACACCGGGCTGAAATTGTTTCTTAAAAATCCAATCTGATTGCATCACCCCTGACAAAAATTTCTAAAGGCTTCTGGTTAATTCCTCATGGGATCAAGGCATAACTGCCTATGAGGGACTCTATTATTTGGTCCAAGTCCACCTCTGGGCCACTTCTTACCCTCCAGATAAAAGGCCACATTCCTCTGCACAATGGCCCTTCCACAAGCTCTTTTATCAAGTAATCTCTTCTCTACATTTTACTGGGCTGTTATCTAGCTTTCAGATCTCCAGATGTCATTTCTACAAAGTAGCCTTTGACCCTCCTTTACCAGGGATTAAACTCACCTCAAGCCTGACAGGCAGGTGCTTATGCCACTGAGCTAAATCCCTAGCCCCAACCTCCATTTCTAACCTGGACTGTTTTGTGCACTCTTTATACCATTTATTATAATTTAAACATTTGTAAAATTTGGTAATGGTCATTTCCCCAAATTATAGATTTCATAAGCAACATGTTCATAATTATAACTAATGCAGTTTTTATTTCTTAATTCAACATTTGTATTTCATTATGAGACAATCTTCCTGGTAAGAAGAGGATCATAGATTAGCAAAGGGAGAGGCATTACACCAACAAGCCCAAAATTTAAGTCCAAATAACCTGTTTTTCAAGGTATAGTCTAGAAAAATTTTTTTCGTATGGGAAAGACAATTAGCTGGGACCAGGTGAAACTGATTCCATTTATACCTGAAAGTAGTGGTTAATTGGAACACTGGGCTGTGAAAAGGTACACTCGGGCAATACTAGGGAAATAATTATTATTTTATGGGTACCAGGGATCGAACTCACGACTGCCTGCTTGCAAGGCAGGTGCTTTTGCTGCTGAGCTAAATCCCCAGCTCCCAATAATTATTTTTTTTAGCCACAGTTCCACTAGGAAGCCCAGCCTTCTAAGTGCTGGACGGCCATATGCCTCCATGTCCGGCTGGCTCAGCAAGAATAAATTAAGAGACTTGTATTTGAATCCTGCGTTTGCTGCTTCCTAGCTAAGCCTCCTCTGGCAGAGATACTTAACCTCTCAGCCTCAGTTTCCTCATCAGCAGAGGGTTCACAGTAGCATTTCTACAGTTACTACAAGAATTAAATGAGATAATACAAAAAGCACCGGGCACACTGCCTGGCATTAGGGCACATTATTAAATTAGTTCTTCCGATGTTAACAGGAAGCTCTCTGCTTATGTAAGTCGTGGTGACCCCTCTCGGGTAAATGTAAATGCAGGGAAATTACAGGCCATGGTCCAGTACCTGCTTTCCAAGAGTTGAATGCAGGTGATCCTACAGGCATGGCAGACTATGCGTTAAGGCAGGAAAGAACTCCAAAAGTGTCTCACACTTCATTTAATCTTAAGAATGTTACAAGCTCTCTGTCTTCAGATATAAATTATGTATAACGTTACAGAACGAACAGTGAATTTAGCAATTTAAAAACTAAGTAAGTCTACACGGTGTTAACTTCCAACAACAGTCTTCCCAATCTGTTTTTTTTTTCTCAAAAAGTCACCCCTGCCCTCATTTCAGTAGACGTGCACCATGCCATAGAGGAATGTCCAGAACAGGACGTAGGTGAAGAGACCTCCGATGAGGCCTCCTGTAAAGAGAGGTCTTCGTGATTTAAAGTATTTGTTCCACCTCCTTCCCGCCTTGAGAATCAGGAGCAGGGAGAGCAGGACGGAGGCAAGCAGGTAGAAGATGAAGCCGTAGAGGCCGGTGAGACCGAGGATGCCGGCCGTGGCCCCCGACAGCGCTGACACGGACGTGCGGCAATAATCCAGCACCGCGGCGTTGCCCCGCACAGCTGCCTCGCTGATGAACGGCGGCCCTTCCCGCTTGGCCACCACCGCGGCCATCGCATCTGCCGGGCCTCGACCTCTGCCTTCTCGTGGGCCGACGCAGAGCTGTGGAGAAAACCAAGTTACAAGTGGCGCCCGGAGCTTCGGGAATTGGGTTCACCCCGCACCCTCCCCCGCGGGACCTTCCAGCACCCCCCCCTCCGATCTTCAAAAGACGCCAAGAAACCTGCGAGAAGAGTGGGCCATCGGGGGGTCGGCACAACGTCTGCATCCCCTGGCCACGCTTTCCCAGTTACCTGAAACGCGAGGACAGTCACTCGGCGTTCCCTCACACAAGTAGCAGTAGAGATTCCCGCGGCGCCATCTTTTGGTGAAGGCTGCTGGGAGGGCTTGAGATGCGCGTGCGCAGAACTACCGACTCGCCTTTGGCGCCTGCGCGTGGGGTATGCTCCGCCCTCTTCCCTGCACTACGCACGCGCCGGGACTTCCAAAAGTTGAACAGCGCTCAGATCGCTGACTGGCTAGAAATCTGTTAAATATTCATAAGGGGCGGGCCACGCTGGGCTGCCTTTGTTAACTAGCGAGGGCGCGGGAGCGGTCATTCTGGTTGCGGGGTTTACCGAGTGTTGTTTGCTTGAGTGGGATCGAGATGTCCTACATCCCAGGCCAGCCGGTCACCGCCGTGGTGGTGAGTGTCTCGCGCGGGTTCCTTTTCGTCTTGGCTTGCAGTGCGGTAAACTGACACTCAAGCAGATTGATAAAGCATCGAACCCAGGGCTCCTGCACGCAAACTGGCGACGTGAGCTGTGGTATTCTATGCCGGAGCGGTGCTATAGCCTCGTCTAGCTACGAGACAGAGGCCTGGGATCCGACAGTCTATCGAGACTCTGGGCACAGGCCAGACCCAGCATACTGCCGCCGCCGGGTGGATTCATCTCAGGCAGCCGGGGCGGGGAGGACGAAGGAGAAAGGCCTCGGCTGCGGAAGTCTGGGAAAGCACCCCCGTCCCGGGCCTCTGTGTCCCCAGCTGGGTAGCCGCGGGGGGCGGGCGCCGGCCCCGAAGTCTGTGAGTCGCAGCCTCAGGAATGAGGAAGCACTTCCTCCGCTCCAGCCGCCGCCGCCGCCCAGCGAAGGGAGATTTAGGGGGCGGGGGACTAGCTTGTAGCCTGCGGTAGAAACACCTTCCTCCCCTACCTTCTAGCCTATTCCCAGGGACTCTTATCGTTCTAGGGACGCAGTCGTTGCTGGGTTCAGAGCGAATATTCAAACAACTGGCTTGATATGTTGTCTGTACTTTTTCTGAACACTTAGTCCTTGGGGCAAAGTCCAAGTCACGAGCGAGCCCAGGTCTATAACCACCGTCTTGGTTTATCTGGGGTAGAGAGTGCTAACAGAACAGGCAAAGGGAGACTGGGATAGATGCCAGTGTCACAACTTGCTGGGGCTTGGAGGCCAACCCTGTGGCAAAGGTGATAAAATTGAGTCTGGTCATGCCAGACTCCTAAAGGAAGCCCTCGAGTTGGACCCAGATCCCCAGAAGTATTAGAAATTGAGAGGAAATGCTTGCCTGGTAGGCAGTGGGATAAGTGAAAGTCCCAGCCCTGGAGCCACAGGGACTAAAGGTGACATCTCAGATGGGTGTGACTCTACAGTCAGGAGGGCGGGAGCAGAGAAACCACTGATAAAGGTGGCATGTGAGATGAGGTTAGGGCCCTACCAGTTAGGGCCTGAGCTAGGAGGGAACCGTGCTGGGCCAGCTGACAGCTATCCTAAGTCACCCTGCCTGTGCCAACCTGGGTTTTTCCAGATCCCGCCTTGCCCCAGCGAGAAGAGTCTAGGTTTGCACCTTAGCTGGGAAAAAGGAGGAGCAAGTGAAGCTAGCAAGCCAGTGACAGGGTGTCTCTTCTGATCTTGGAGGTGGGTGTGCCAGTGTGTGTTGGAGCAGGCCTGGAGCTCACACCTTTGGGCCTCAGGGATTGTGCTTCCTGCCCCTTCTCCCAATACCTGCTCCCCACCAGGTCTTCCTCAAAACTATAGGACTAAAACTGTCCAATTCCTTTACCAGCAGCATGCCTAACAAATGAAGATTACCTCTGCAATCCCACCTTCTCTCACATAGTTAACATTTTCAGGGTTACGACCATTTTGGCCCATCCTGTGAACTCTGGCTCCATAGATCTCCCTCCTGGACACCTGTGCAGATAGCTCCTGGCACTCCAACTGCACATAGTGCTTCCCGGGTGTCCCTGTCTGATGGCTGCAGACTGCCAGAGTTGCTACTGAAGCACCAAACCCAGCCGAGCCGGTCCTATTAACCAACTCCTTTGAGTTCCTGTGGGTTCAGTATCAAAGTCCCTGTCCCTCTAGGCCTGGTGCAAATGACCCCTCCTTTGTGAAGCCTTTTCTTGTTTAGGTCAAGTTGGTTTTTGTTGTTTTCCTCTGCATGTTAAATCTCTGAGCTTCTGAGGTGATCTAGTTTGGCTCCCAGCATTTGGCAACTGGAGGATACCTGCTGAGGGCTATGGAAGGAGCCCAGCACAGCTGGGAGACCTCAGCTGCTAAGCATGATGAGGGAGCCCTAGGATATTCTAATGCGTTGTGTAAGAGCAGGCTCTAGGGCTTCAGGAGATCCCCTCCTCCGTCTGTCAAGTCCCAGGGGCCTGTATCCCCTAACCCTCCCCTAACCCCCTGGCTCAGCCTCAGGCTCACACTTCCACCAGAGCTGCCCTGCAGTTCTGCATCTTGCATGCTGTGCGCTGCTTTCATGAACACGGGATCCATAGCACCTTTGAGCTTTTGTTCTGCATCCTTGGCCAGCAGCCCTTTTCAGGGGAAGTTTGATCTTTTTCTGAGGGTCTTTTGCCTCACCCCTGATAGGACTGACTCAGCAAATAGCTGTCTTGGCCAGGAATCTGCAACTTTCCAGGGCTGGCCTTTCCTGCACTGTGTGCTTCTTCCTGGGAAAGACTTCTTCCATCCATGGAAGTCACAGGACTCTGGCTCTTGGGCCAGGGAGGCCTCAGACCACATGTTGATGAAGGTTGAGGAACAGGAAGGTTGGGGCTATGTGGCTAGGTCCATGTGGCCAAGTTTTAAGTCCCAGCCTCCCAGGCTGATGACCAGCTGGACTCCTGCAGAGGGTCTACTCACCCACCTATCCCCACCTTGTTTTTTTGTTTTTTTCTTTTTTTCCGGTACCAGGGATCGAACTCACGACCGCCTGCTTGCAAGGCAGGTGCTTATGCCGCTGAGCTAAATCCTCAGCCCCGTTTTTCTTTTCTTTTCCAGCAAAGAGTTGAAATTCACAAGCTGCGTCAAGGAGAGAACTTAATTCTGGGGTTCAGCATTGGAGGTGGAATTGACCAGGATCCTTCTCAGAACCCCTTCTCTGAAGACAAGACAGATAAGGTGAAGGGATTGGGTCCTGTACCTCTCTGTGGCCACAGAGAGCTGGGGTAGTGAGTCCTTTCTTTCTGGGTCTTGTGAAGGAGCATACCTCATCCTCCTCAGACAGAGTCCAAGAAACGATTGGTGTGAATAAGTAAGGCTGGGAGTGGGGAGTGGGCCTGGGTCCTAGGAAGGCCTGGAGGAGGCAGCCATTAGCACCATCTGGAGCACCCTTGGGGCAGTCATTCTGGTAGTCTTGGCTCAGCTTATACTCCCTGGCTGTGCTGGGGTTTGGGATACTGAGCACAGAGACAGAGGGATAGCTGGGAGTATACCAGGCTGAGTTCTGCTCTGGATAAGGGAACGGTCCAGTAGTCATAGGGCCTAATCTGGGCTTCCACTTTCCAGGGCATTTATGTCACACGGGTGTCTGAAGGAGGCCCTGCTGAAATTGCTGGGCTGCAGATTGGAGACAAGATCATGCAGGTAATGAGGGTCTCCCAAGGAATAAAGCAAAGTTTGGGCAAGAGGGGCTGAAGCACTTGGGGTTAAGGGGCAGGCCTCTCAGTGGGGAGGGACTCACCAGAGCCGTTTTGGAAACCATGCTGGTGTTGGAGGAAGCTGGCTGTCTCCTGTGTGCCTTGGCTGTGGTACAGGGCATCTTCAGTCCCTGCTTAGGCCTGGAACACCCCAGCAGGCTCCCCACCCCCACCCCCATGAGCCCTCTGCTTCCAGATCCCAGAGGGCAAGGAGCTGAAGTGGGCTGTGTTCTCTCCCTGGGTTAGGTGAATGGCTGGGACATGACCATGGTCACACACGACCAAGCCCGGAAGCGGCTCACCAAGCGCTCAGAAGAGGTTGTGCGTCTGCTGGTGACACGACAGTCGCTGCAGAAGGCAGTGCAGCAGTCTATGCTGTCTTAGCAGACAGCCAGGACCCCCAACTTTTGCCTGCCACCTGTTTGTACAGTGACCCCACTTCTACACTGTCTGCTGCTCCTCCTGGTTTCTGCTGCGTGCTGGTTCCACATCAGAAGGGCAACAGCTGGGCCTAGAGGCTTGAGCCAGCCTTCCTTCCACTCCCACTCCCAGGCAAAGGCTCTGGGACCTTCTCCTTTGGACAGAGGACTGGAAACGAGGGCCTGGAGCTGAGTGATCGCTGGTCTACAATGACCACAGGCTCAGCCCTCAGGCCCTGCTGCCTGGCTGCTGTACTGTCCAGGTTAGTAGGAAACACTACTTTCTCTGAGTTGCCAAAGCTGGGGATTCCAGTGGGGCCAGCTTTCCCCCGATTTGCCCCTGGCCATGGGGCTTGGCCCTGCCTTCACATCACTTCTAAGGTGCCCCACACTTTGCCCACCATGTTGCCCATTGTGGGCTGGACCCACACACTGCCAGAGGCACTATGAAGGTTCATCTGGATGGAAACGGGCAGGCTCCCATTCACCCCCACAGGGGTGCTGGCCTCTCCAGGGTTTGCCTGCTTCTAGGATTTAAGTGAGGCTTAACATTTCTGGGCAGCTCTCAGGATTGCCACTTTTCTCTATGCCTGTGGGTTTAACTTTTGTATTTTTTTAATCACAACTTTGATACAATTGTTTTTATCTTAATATTTGGAGATGCCAATTCTACTTTTGAAGTAAGCTTACTAATTCACATCTGGGCGCAGCTACTTAGCACATCAATAAGCCTTACTTTATTGTGGAAATGGGCAGCGTGATGATGCCCCATGCCTGACATCTTGTGCTCAATAAACAATGCTGGTATTCACAGAAATCTTTTGAAGCATGGGGAGGGTTATTTGGAGGTGGACTTGGACAGATGCTTTGGCTTTAAGGACAGCTGGCCTGTCCTGTGCTGCTGTGTGGCCCAGGGTATCACTCAGGGGCAGTGCTCACCCAGTGAAGCTCTGGGTTCTACCTCATCACTGCACGGAAGCAGCAGCCTCAGGGGAAAGTGTCCTTGGCAAGGGCCCTATCTGTCTACCTGGGAGCATCTTCACTGCAGTTGGGGCAGGGAGTCCTGGAGTGCATTGTCTGGAGTGAAGCACCTAAGGTGTCCTCAACTTCTCACATAACCTAGCTTCCGCTGCTACATGAGAAGGTCCTCTGAGTACTCGAGTTCATGTTTTAGAAAAGCACCCTCTGCTTAAGAGGTTTAAGAGTGCCCTGAGCCATAGTCAGGAACACAGCTCCAGATGTTTTCAGGGGCTAAGAGCTGGCCAGATGGTGAGCCTGAAAGCACCTGGGCTTCTGTCAGTTCTGGGAAGATGCCACCTATAGGCCTGGCTAGCGCTGCCAAATCAGGTTTGTAAAGAAAAGCTCAGAATTTGAAATCTCCCATTTTTAAACTATAGTGCCCAATAACACACTTTATAAAAATGACTTGGTGACTGCAATCAAATAAGTTTTATGGGCTTATGGCTGCCATCTCTGCTCTAGAGAAAGACTGCCTTCAATTCCTTGATGACTGTTACAACATGATAGAGGAAGAAAGACCTTCACTGCTCTGGCTTCCAGTGCTATTGTGCCTTTCAATGCTCCAGCTGTTTATAGCTACAGTTTGAGCAGCTGTTGTGCCTTGGCACTGGCAGACATACCTGTCACAGACCTACCTGGCCCTGCGTGGGCAGGGGTCTCGTACTATCCAACAGGGCTTCCCCACTGCAAAGTCAGCATACAGCATTCCACAGCCCCGTATTTGCCTTTACAGGAGGTGAGCAAAGCTGACTGAGCCCCACAGACTTGGCTCTGAAGGCCAGCATACCTGCTTTCTGCATCCAGCAAATGCTCAGAGTGTGCAGAAAAGAAAAGCCAAGTTTTACAAAAGGGTCCAGGGCCCTCACATTAGTCTTGAGTAACAGACTGCATTGATAAGCTCAAGGCATATACAGGGCACATCCTGGGTCCATCTCCTGTTGTAGGACAGCAGCTCAGGGTGGAGAGCAGCACTTTGAGAGTAGGGTTGGGTCCATAAGCACTGGGTGAGGGGGTCTCAAGTTCTCTGAGGCTCCTCCATAACCAAAAAATTAAGTCTCCTGTAGGGGTCTGGACAAAGAGAGGGAAGGGGCCTGCCCTTCCTCCCAGTGGAGCTACTGTCACCATTTGGCAGGACTAACAGGTCTCTAAGGCACAAATTGGTAGAGAGGGTGTGTCCTGCTTTAGTTCTGGGGTATCAGGGGTACTCGGATGGGGCCCCGTCTAACTCAGAATGTGGAGGTAGAAGAGTAGGCAAAAAAGAGGGAGCCACTTCTAAGACATCCCTTGAAAAACTCCAGAAGGAGTTTGTGTGACATCTGACTGTGGTAAAGATCCAGAAGGCACAGGACATGACACTGGCCATAGCCATCTGACAGGGGCTCCGAATACTGCTTCCCAGGCTCCTGGCTTGGGACACTCATTACCACAGTCTGCAGAATGAGCAGGTGTCTGGGATGTGGCTTTCAGAGAATGGACGAAAGGCTTAACCCCAGAGTCCTCAGCCCTCCACCACTGGCACCTTTGAGTCCATTGGGACAGCACCTGGCTGCTTGTTCCCTGTGAACACCGGTGGCAGCCAGGCACAACGGTCCTGTCTCGGCTGCAAGGTCAGCCTTTCAAGTTGCTCCCAGAAACACTGGTGGTTTGAGGCAAGGCCCCCGGTTGCAGGCTCAGCACCAGATTCTGCCTGGGATGGCTGTCAGGACCTGTGTATGCTGCCTGAAGCCTTAAAGGAAAGAGAGATGGCGCATCAAGATGCAGGAGGGCCAGGAGCCCTGCCCATGAGGCCGACGGGGCTGAGCTCCCTGGGAAGGCTGGGAGGACTGCCTGAGGTCTGGCTTTCGGTCTCAGAGCACAGTCAGGTGTCTCTCCCCGAGCGAGGATCTGCTGTGGCCAAGGAGGAGCCCGGGAAAGGCAGGCTGGTTGCTTTTAAGGCATTTGGCACTGTGTGAGACAGTGCTTCTGTTGGCACAGTGAACCAGCCCGCATCCCAGCCTCTTGTCTGGTCTTTGTGGGGTGCAGACTTCCCCACCAGAGCCACCGCCCCAGCTGTTTACACTGGGTCTGTGGGTGCTAGTTCAGCTGTTCGTACCCCGGTTTCTTTCTGTACAAACAGAAGTGCTGGACGAAGAAGACAACATCAAAGAAGATGCTGAAGATGCCAAGACCAAACTTGGTTGGGTCTCCGAAGATCAGTGTCCACTGGTCTGTTAACAGAGGAATGGAATTCAGTTTTAGGGAGCAGCTCCTAAGACAGTAGGAACATGTGGGACTATGGGGACTGGGGTGAGGGTCCCCATCTGCCCAGGAAACTGCACACCCTCCTGCTGCAGAAACCTCTGGGTGAGTCTTTCTGGGGTTAGGATTAGCTGGAATTCCTGGGCTACCACACTTGGGCTGAGGGTGTAGCCTTGCCTGGGGGGAGACCCAGGATGTCTGGCTCCCCACTCACTGGGCAAGAGCAGCCCTCTGGCTGACTCACCGTTATTGTAGGACTGGAGGAACATCTGGAGGAGGCTGAAGCTACCCCCTGTAAAGTCCAGGAACACGCCACCAATACTCCAGCCCTCGGTGCTTTTGTAGTAAAAATTCATGTAGGCCTGGGCCAGACAGACAGATGGACAGAGGGCTGTGAGGGGGTTGGGTGGCTGCTTCATATACCTTGTGACTACCACTCCAAACAAAGGCAGCTCTGATTCCTCCCACTCGTGTGCTCGGTTCTCGGTTCCAAAGGACATGGTGACCTTTGGGCTCCAACAATGCTTCAGCCAAAGGAATATTTGGGTGTCCTGGAACCTCAGCTCAATGCAGGGCAAAAACAGCTGCTCCCTCCTCCCACCCTGGGACTGCCTCACCCCAGTGGGTGTGAGGGGTACTGCGCTGCCCAACTTCTCTGTCCTCTTAAGGGGGCAGTACTCTATCCTGGGCTCCCAGTGACTCCAATTCTTCCTTTTACCTCTAGGAAAGCTGTCCCCAGACTCTGCTTGGACTCCACACTTATGTGGCCCGGGGGCCAGGCTTTCTGGTGTGACTTGCAGCCATGACAGGGCTCCAGGGCCTCCATCTGAGCTTTCCAGGTCAAGTGGTGTTTGCTTAGACACTCTTTTTCCTACTACCTTTGTTCTACAGCTTTCCTCTAAATCTAAGGTGCCCTTTGGGCTTCTGCCTGTCTTCCTGTCACTTAGCGGGGAGGGCCTTGGTCTGTCCTCCCTCTTGCATATTTGCTGCTCCCAATTCCAGTGTCTCCCACTGGTGTGCCTGCTTCCTAGGTTCCCAGCCCCAAGGCTTCCCACATTCGAGGATGGTGGCCACTTCCCCAGAGACCGTTCCCTCCTCAGAATTCCAACCCTGCTGGGACCTAGCCTCAGGTTCCCCACTTTGATATTCTCAATGCTGCTCAGGCAACCAGTCTGCTGCACAAGCTGCCTGGCCTGTGGGGCTACTGAACTTAAGCCCTGTCTCCCTAAGTCTCTAGATCTGTTCCTGGCCAGCACTCTCCGTTCTGAGTTCCTGGGACACAGCTCCCTGTGCAAGCTAGGTTGAAAAGGGGTTCTCCATCAGAGATGAGTTAAAGGAAGGCCTAAAGCTGCAGGGAATGGTATGCAGTTGGTAGCTACTTCATACCAGCCCTTGTCTTAGGCCATTATCACTGTGGGGGAAGATGTATTTGACTCTTACTGACTCCAGACCTGGATAGGACAAGCAGGACTCATGGGAAGGGGACTGGGGATTTAGCTCAGCGGCATAAGCACCTGCCTTGCAAGCAGGCAGTCGTGAGTTCGATCCCTGGTACCGATAAAAAAGACAAAACAAACAAACAAACAAACAGGATTCATGGGAAGGTGCTTATGGACAACAAAGGAGAACATTTCTCCCCGTAAGGTGGCTTTGGGGCTGAGGTTCTTCCCATCTACTCTTTTTTGATTCTTCTGCTGCCATTGTGGTGATGAAGGGCAGTCAAAAGTAATGACGTGGCCAATCCCTGACTCAGGAGCATGAAGTCTGAGACCTCCACTGACTTCCTCATGTGAGCTGGGCTCTGCTAGTCTGGGCTTACCAACTCCACTGCAGCTTTCCACCCTTAGCTCCTCACCCTGCCAAAAGTTGGCCCCTGGGAGCTCTCAGGCTAAGTTCCTCTCATTCTCTTTCATGCTACCAACCATAAGAAAATGCAGGAAGGCCCTGAAGTACCTGTGGGAAATACTTGATCAGCGTGACAGCGAGCTTGATGTAGGAGAAGCAGAAGAGAAACTGCAGCCATGTGGTCACCCCGACTGCAGCCACAATCATGGTGATGATGGCGAAGAGCCATGCAAGTACCAGGAAGCCAATGGCGGGCCATGACACACGCTGGCTGCCTCGCTGAGGATGAGATGGAGAGGGGGAAGGTTGCAGATGGGTCAGAGGCTGCTGCAAGTTTTGGGAGGGAATGGCCACAGATGGACGAGGTGGCCTTAGAAGAAGGTATGGCATAGGCTAAAGGAGAGATTTGGCCTGCATTTGGGTTGTGTCCAAAGAAAGAGAGGGTTGAGGACAGATTCCAGAGATCTTTGGACTTCATCTGGGCCATGGAACAGTTAGTGGATGAGGTGCCAGGCTTCTCCTGTCCTCAGTACCCCCATCTTTTTACTATCAGGGTCTCCTGTTCTGTCTGCCCTGGATTCTCTGGCTCCTGTCGACTTTATGTCCCCAGTTTGCAGAGCTGGGGGCCTCTAGAACTTATGAAGAAGCACAGGGTGTCAGAGTCGTGAGATCCAACACTGGAGGCTGAATGAAAAGATGGGGTTACAGGGTCTCTGGAATTTGTTCTACAAACCGACTTTTCTTCAGACATGGCTCCCATGTGAACCTCCTTCACCAGAGCCTCCTTTACCAAAGGGTAAGAAGACCTAGAAAGTTCACAGAGATGGAAGCCATACAGCCCTCTCTGGCCTTGTAGAAAATGAAGAGAACTCCCTGAGGAAGGTAACACAACCACCGAGGAGGGGAAGCAGAACTGCTGTCTTAGGGGTGTCTCCCTGAGAAGACTCCAGCAGCAAGTCTGGGCGGCTCTGGCCTCTCCGAAGGTGGTTCCACCACTGGCATCTGAGCCCTGGCCATTGCCATCTGCTCACAGTTATTCCCAAGTGCCCCTCTGCCATCACAGTTCTGTTCCAGGCCCTTTCTATTTACTACAGGAACGTCATTCACCTTGGACAACAGCTGCCATTTTCCTCCTCCCTCCCATACCTCCTTAGCTTGGTTGTGGGCTCTGCTCTGCTCCATGGCTGTCTGTGTGTCCCCCTCCACACTGCTCTCCGCCTGCTCCTCTCTCTGTCTCTCACTTCAGACTTGGGGGGCAGTGTGAGGGCCTGGGTTAGTGGGGTATTTCTCGTGCCCACCCCACTCAGGGCCTGGCCCATGGCCTAGACCTGGGAAGCAGGTGCGGAAGGAATGAAAACGTTCTTTCTGAGGAGTTGGGATCTCAGGTGGAACGGCAGGGAGCAGTAGTGGGTGGCATGAGGGTAGGGTGGGGGTGGCTATTTCTCAGCCTCACCTCATACAGGCAGCACTGTATGATAACGATCAGGGTGAGGGCGACTGCGTGCAGGCTGAAGAAGACGTCATTATTCTCCACAGGGTTCACACCGTTGGGGTATTTAAGGAGAAACTGCTCCTGTCCAGGGTGGGGAGAGTATGAGATGAAGAGCAGCCTGGCCATCAAGTGGCTTTGGTGGCTGTCTATGTGTGGGGGGCAATGCCATACCTGGACGTAGGGCACCCACAGGAGGCCAATGTTGAACACACTGTAGGCCACGAAGCCCATCAGGTTCAGGGCCAAGAAATCGAAGCTCAGACCAACAACACTGCAAAGGGCAGAGAGGATGAGGCAGGCAGGGGTAAGATCTGGGAGCACTGGAGTGGGAAAGGACAGCGCTCCTGGCACACAGGGAAGGAGGGCTCTGCTGGGCACAAGGCCAGCACTGCCCTTCGGTCCCTCTCTGTATCAGTTGATGCCACCTAGTCTCTGTCTTCCTGAGAACAGGTCCTCACCTTTCTTCCCTTGCTCCTGAAATTTATCTTATCCCTTCAATTCTGGCCTGGGAAGTGAGAGACCTGCAGAGAGGCAGCCTTTCTCTTCCTGGCTGTCTGCTAAGAAGCCCCCGTAGCCAGGGACAATGAGAGAGCCTGTGTCCTTGCTTCACACAGATGTGATCCCAGGCTCACTCTTACTTTGTCTAAGAGGACAGTGGGAGTGCTTAGTCTCCAGGGATGCAGTGTGTGACATGACACCGGTTTTCCAGGGCTGAGGAGATTCTGGTGGCTTTTCTACTACCCAGCTGGTTTTGGCTTAGCTGAGAAGTATCATGCTCTGCTTTCCTAGGAGGGCCTGGACTGGGCAAGAGAACAAGTGCGCAGCCCTGGAAGTCCTACCTAGGCTCTTGGACAGAGCTTTCCCATCAGGACAGCTTTCCTGAAAAGGCAGGCAAAAGAAAGCACAGAGGGGGTCTGAGGTCACGCTGCCTATTGCCCCTCTGAGGCACCCATTCTTACCTTTTCCGTCTCCAGTTCTTGATCACCTGAGGGTAGAAAGAGATGGACCAGGCCAGGAAATAGATCCAGCCAATCACTTGGTTTATGATGCTAATACTGTTGCTTCTGATGACAAAGAAGAGTATCCTTGAGCTAGAAAAGGATTTGGGGATGGGATGAACTCAGGCTGGACTACTGTGCCCAGTGCAACCTCTGTTTCCATCATTTATGTCCACGTGGGTGGGAGCAGAGGCCCAATTACCTGGTCTGGTTGGAATGATTTCTGTGCAGGTAAATGGTCACTTGTCCAACATTTTGAGATGTTACTTGAAAAGAGGACTGTGTCACTCCAGGAGGTACTACAACCTGTTAGGAAGACTGAATTCATTCTGAGGCGATATATAGTTGTGGCCCCACAAGAGTCTGGCCTCAGGCTGTGAGCAGGCAATGGGGGCACACAGCACACAAGGTCCTGCCTTCTAAGAGCTCACTAACTAGAGGCAGAAATGCTGGGTTGGCTAGTCAATTCAAACCTGGTACAGCCCTGTGTGAGACTTCCTGAGCAGAACTGTAGCCTAGTCTTGGGGTCCTCCCTGTGGGGGAAGGTGGGACAGTGTGCTTCCTCTCACTAGCTATGTAATCTCACTTTTTTTTTTTTTTTTAATATTGGTACCGGGGATTGAACTCACGACCACCTGCTTGCAAGGCAGGTACTTATGCCGCTGAGCTAAATCCCAGCCTCCTAGCTATGTAATCTCAAGGAAGTTACTCAAGGTCTGCTCACTGTAAGTAGGAATAACACGTGTTTCTTTAACATAGTTGCTATGAATGACATGATCTCTGTAAATCTTACAGCACAGAGCCTGGCACATGACAAGCTTGAATATTTCCTACCATAAGTGTACAATGACAACCATGTTACTTCTATTTCCATCACTACTAGGTTCTTTGACATCCATAAAAGACGTCTGCCTCATGTCTTTTCTGGCTGCCAAGTGACAAAACAGGAGGTGCACGTACCAGACACTTGGCAAGCAGAACAGTCTCATCCACATTCCTCCCAATATTGATCAAAATTCCTGCTCTGGCTGAAGCTGGAGCTCTGTAGTACAGAGCTTCTTGCCTCCTGTGAGAGGCCCTGGGTTCCATCCTAGTACTAAGGGTGGAGGGAGACCTCTCTCCAGGAAAATGGACCTGGAGGCCTCCCTGCAACATCTCATCTCCCAATCATTTCTCCTGATACTTTCATATTCCCAGAACAGCACAATAAGAATGTAGCTTCACTGAACTGTCTTTCCTAGTCTTCATCTGTTTGCTCCCTGTATAATAAATACTCTGGGTCCCACCCTTAACTCACAAGTCCCTTTGGATGGGACTTATTAAGCACCTCCTGAGGCCCTGCCCTTTTGGTTTCAGGCCTAGAAATCAGGGCCTTTGGCAGAACAATGGAAAGGTGTCAAGTGGCTGTTGGAAAGCCTCCTTCAATTTCTGGTCTGCCCTCTGCAAGCCACAATTTGAGGACAGGCCCCGCTTTTGGCTCTTTTATTTTCCTAGCACCTTACTTTTTCTTCTTTTTAATAGTTTCCTTATAATGTTGTTTATATTTTTGTAGGTTTCTAGTTAATCCATTTAGAGCTAGGCAGGAAAAAAAAAATCAATCAGAAATCCACAAAAACAAAGAACGAAATGATAATGGTTCATGGCTTTTACTGAATGCTTTCTACCTGCCAGGTATAATCTCAGACATTTATTTTGTACTTGATATTATCATTTTTAATCTTTGCAGTATGGTCAAGTTGATGTTATGAATGCTGTGTTTATAAATGAGGAAACTGCTCTGTCAGGCCAACGTTCCCTGGTCAGGATCCTTGACGCCTGATTTCCAGGTTCTAACCAGTGGCTTCTGATGTCATCATTAGGGGACAGGAGAGGTTAGAGCTGGGTAGGGTGGAGACAGTAAGGCACCAGCCTGAAAGGTGAGTTTGGGTGTCCACTAAGTTATCTAAATGATTTGTCTGACTTTCACTATTAAATATTTTTTAAAAATTAGATCTGTGGGGCTGGGGATTTAGCTCAGGGGCATAAGCGCCTGCCTTGCAAGCAGGCAGTCGTGAGTTCAATCCTCGATACCCATAAAAAAGGAAAAAGAGAAAAAAAAATCTGTAATATACATGCTGAATACAAAAAACCAAAGAACTATGGTACATCAAAAAAATGTAGTTGATTGGGTGACAAAGGAGTGTCCTAAATAATGGAGGTATTTTCCATCATAATCTAGCTGATAGAAAGTGCTTACTTACAGATCTCAAATCTCAGAAACCTGTACTGCTAACATTTATGTATTTTTCTAGATATGAGGTATTATTGCCATGGAAAACTTAAGTAGTGAAAGAACTAAGTGTGCTTACAGACTTTTAATGTAACTGCTACTTCAAAACTTTTTGCTTATTTACCACTGTAGCAACAAACAGTTTTAAGTGTCATTGTGATTCTCAGTATATATTATTTACCCACTAACATTATGTGTATAGATCACGTACAATTTTAGTGTTTTTGCTGTCTTCAAATAGCCACAGATTAATGCATCTTCTAGTTCCCAGATCAGGAAACAAACATTTCCAACACCCTAGAAGCCTGTTCCACCCCTCTAGTCTCCTGACAACCACAGGTTCCCTTCACAGTCCGGGTGCTTTGGTGGCAGGCTTTTTTGCTTTGCAAGCATTTGAGGTCTGCTTGCTTTTAGAAGATGATACTCTTACATAGATGTCTGGTCCTGAACTAAGTGATCAGCAACTGTTCCTCTCAGAGTTTGTGATCTATGGATAGAGCAGATTTCAGGGGCCACGTGCCAGACCTGTGTGAGAACCAGTGACCCTCCCTGCACTGCACACTGGCCTCGTGCTCTCAGGCTGGGGAAGCTATGAGACATGGCACCAACCCTATGTGGTGCTTACTGGGGTTTGGGCTGAGCTCTACATCCCAACAGGGCTCCTCTGTGAGACTGAGCCCTCTCTCACCCATGCAATTTGTCAGATGACAGATTCTCAGACTCCTTCCTTCCTTCACCTACTTCCTCCCTCCTTCCTTCTCTTTTTCCTGTTGTTGGGGACCAATGCAGGGGTTTGCATGTCTGCTGGGCAAGTGTTCTACCAGTAGGCTACACCCCGAACTCTTGAGCCTGGTCATGTTTCATTGCTGTTTGCTGTCTCATAGTCATCTGGCTCATCCCTACATGGCTCTCCTGTCATGCCTCCCCCAGATTTATTATGATTGACAAATATGTTGTGTATATTAGAGTGTATGTGGTAGTTTGATATGTGCATACTTTGCAATATGATTAAATCAAGCTAATTAACATAACCTTAACGTCCAGCCCCTCACAGATCCATCATTGTTTCTGTGATCTAATCTCGTAATCATTTTCAAGTACAGTCACATGTCCCTTCACAATGGGGTGTAGTCTGTGGTATGTGCCACGAGGTGATGTCATAGCTGCATGAACATCAGAGAGTGCATGTACACAAATTAAGATGGCTGTAACGTCATTAGAGTGTCACTTACTGGACCCCTAATTTATACGCAGAACTTAGAAACTGACTCTTTGTTTTGCTTTTGTTTTGGTACTGAGATTTGATTCTAGGATGCTCACCACTAAGCTCCATCTCTAGCTTTTATTTTTTAAATTTTGAGACAAGGTCTTGCTAAATTGCTCTGATGGCCACAAACTTCTGATTCCCCTGTTTAAGCCTGGATTACAAGCATGCATCTGGTCTTTTAAAACCATCATTTGCCCTGAGTTGCCACCTCACTGTTGTCTTTTATCTAGGTGAATGAACCAGTGGCTCACAGTGGGAATGTGGAAGCTGAGTATATGCAAACTGATAAATGCACAAAGCTATGAATAATTACCACTGTTATACCAGACAGTACGCTGGTACTCTGACTAGTTTTTGTAAATGACACGCAACCAATGGTGTCTCAGAACAGTGCTTCCTAAAACCTAATATGGATCCCAATCATCTGAGGACCTGGCTGATAAGATGACTTTGAATAAGTCAGTCTGGGATGGGGGCTCAGAATCTGTGTTTCTAAACCTTTTTTTAAATTTATTTATTTTTTGGTGGTGGTGGACTAAGTATGTGTTCTATCACTGGGAATACCCCAGCCCCTAAGGCCATTGCTGCTACTCCACGAATACTGTTGAGTAGCAAGGCCTTAGAAAACCATTATGTTGTCTTCTTGGGAGGCTAAGGCAGGATAGCTGCAAGTTTGAGCAGCCTGGTGTACATAGTGAGTTCAAAGCCGGCCTGAACTACGTAGGGAGAACTAAATGAGCTGGGCGTGGTGGCTCTTGCCTGTAATCCCAGCACTCTGGAGGCTGAGGTGGGAGGATCCTTGTGAGTTCGAGACCAGCCTGAGGCCAGCCTGAACTGCATAGTGAGACCCACCCTCCCTCTCAAAAAAGACAAAAAACCAAACCAAAACAAAACAGAACAAAAACTGCATTCTCATAACTACTTTTGCCTCAGGCTTCTTACTATCAGCTTAATTCAAACTACATGACATAAAATGCTTATCTCCAAAGAGACTAACAAAGCCTAAATCAGATTTCTAGAATGCCGGAACAGAAGAAAGCCAAGTTCTTAACTAATGCATTTTGTTACCTAGCATTTCCCTACCCATCAGTTAAGATTCATTACTTACTTCATCAGGGAGCTTAAGGATAGTAGTATTTTTTGACTGAAATGTGATTTCAAAAGTGATCACCAATGTTGCATTTAATGGCTGCCTGTGGAGGACAAGAGTCTGGTTATTGCTGAGAAGTGGAACACGATCGCCACCAATCCTTTGGATTTCATATCTCTCGCATCAAGAACAGGAAATGGAGTATATGAGGGGTGAAGAGAGGGAAGAATTCTTGCTTTCTGGCATTTTCTGACTTGTGAGGAGATGTCTGTTCAGTTAAGGGAACATGAAAAGGCAGCGCACAGACTGTGAGTAACATAAGGCAGCTGAAGCCTGTTGGCTTTCCCAGAGAGGGTCAAGTCTGAGCAGGCCTTAGTATGAGGTCAGAATCTGACTAAAGCAGACAAGGTCTTTCTGAGAGTAGCCTTAGAGGCTGGAATTGATTTAGCGGACGCCAGGAAGCCACTCAAGGGTTCTGGCGAGGGCAGTCTTTAGGTAAGAGGATGACTTGGGTGACTGGCGAAGTGTGGGTGCAGAGATGGCAGCAGTTAGGAATGGAGTAGCTTTTCTGCAGCCTGGGCCTACAGCCAATGCTCCCTCTCTGGTTTGTTCTATGGTGGCAAAACAAGCATTACACTGAATACAGACTGAGCTGGGGTCAGCCCTGACACAGCTGGGAGGCCTGTCCAAGTGGGGCTGCAGATAGAGCGTGGTGAACCTACCCGAGGGTGATGTTGACGGTGGCTGAACTGCCATTTTCCAGCTTTACAACAGGAGGAACGGTGAGGCTGACTGTCGACGACTCTGGAAGGACAATGACACGAGTCCTCAGATCAGAGTGCTCAAGACCATGAGGGGAAATGGGAACAAAACCCCTGGCCTCTGAACTCATGAGCTCTGACTCACTAGTAATCTTAGGTGAAGAGAGGGAGGGACTTGAAGCTCCTGAGGTGACCTGGGCTGCATTATGCTCCTGCCCTGTCTGAGAGACAGATAGAAGGTGACACAGGCCAGAGTAGGAAACACTGGAGCTTCCTTCTCCCCGCCTCCACTGAAGGGCTTTGAGGCCTGTGAGTTGCCCAGAGATAGTTTGAGAACCATGGAGCCCAAAACTGATCAAAGGAATTCAAACTACCATCTACATTATAAGTAGTGGACTGGAACCTCTTCAGATGGATACCACAGGGGTCTCCTCTGTTTATGGGGACAAAATGGTGAAGAACCGGTCTAGCACCTTCCTGTCTTCTCAGAGCTACAGGGAACATAGCTGATACATCTCTAAAGAGCTTCGCAGCCTGCCTTCCTGACCCAGCTCACCCCACAGTGGATCCGTACGGACCTCCTTCCTGAGACTGAGCATATATGCAGGCTTGGAGAAGAATGATGAAAAATGCGTTTCATTATCAAGGGTTTCTTTTTGGCATTTAGGTATTAACTCAGGATAAGATAGCCAAATAGACCTCCAGGAAGGAGGAGGAAGCAGGTATGGTTGGGTCTTAAAAAACTATTTTGGTAGGGGACTGGCAAGAGCAATGATGGTGAACCTTTTAGAGCTTTCAATGATACCAGCAGCCCGCTGTGGCATGGGTGCCATGGGTTTGTCACCACTGGGCTAGGGTACAGCTCAGTGGCAGGGCACATGAGTAGCATGCATAGGGCCCTGTGTTCCTGTATTCAATCCCCAGCAGGTGAGGGGAGGAGATGACCATCATCTTGGGAGATAAAATACCTCAGGGCACCCTGGACATGGAACGTAACTGAGCTACCTCTTTTTTTTTTTTTTTTTTGAGTTTTTCCTGTAGTTTTTGGGCCCCTTCCCATACTTCCCATTCCTAAACGCTATGCCCAGTTATACTCAAGCCTATGCAACATCTCCCTATCTCATTTTCTCTGCCTCACCACCTTCAGGGCTATGCATGGCCTACGGGTCACAATCATGAATTCAGACTGGGACAGGAAGGAGAACCCATGTAGGGGAGCAGGTGCTCAAATCTGGTGATGAAGATGGTCCTTGTAGGGCTAAAGATTCCAGGCAGGACCCCTCAAAGGCAGAAGACATATTCTGCAGGGGACTTTAGTCACCTAATCAACCTCCAGTGTTAATTCCTTTTCTCAAGTCTCCTTGAGAGCCCCTCTTCATCTGCCTGGACAACTCCAGAGCCCTCAGCCAGCCAGGGACTTGTATTCTGCAGGGCAGTGCTGCCACACAGGGCCTCTCAGACCACATATGAGCTGCCTTCTTTGTCCTAGCCTGACACACGCGATTGCGGATGGAGGTTGACTCAAGTCTGCAATTCCCTGAGCTGAGACTCCCATTGTCCAGGGTTTCTGGCCCCTTATTGAGTGGTTGGGTCCTTCAGAGCAGGATACCCCCCACCCTGGCCCTAAAAGAGGTCAAGTTGCTCAGAGTGAAATGAGTCCTCCCTTAACCAGAGGCAGCTTTGGCCACTCTTTGTTTTTCATGCCCACCACTCTGTTATCAATCGGAGGCTTTGTACTGGGCTTTCCCGGATGGAATAATGCAGGACTTGCTGTCCCAGAACAAGCCACTTCTTGGGTCAGGGACATAAAGGAAGCCACTGTTAGCTTCGGGTCCCCAGGCTCTGTTCAGGCCCTCAGTCTTTGTATGTTGAAGGAGAGGCTATTTCCCTCTCACTCATCACCACAGAAGACAGCAGTGCAAAGCAGCTAACACACTGGGCTCTGAAGTCACACAGTTCTACATGTGCTCTGACACTTCCTAGCTGCATGGCCACAGAGTGAGGTACTTGAACTCTTTGAGGGGAAATAACACCTATCTCACAGGATCACTGTGGAGATTTGTGACGCTGTGCTTGTGACATGCTTTCCACATGGTCTGAGTGCTAAATAATTGTTGGTTACTATTTTTTATCATCAATTTGTAGCTGCAGGACATTTTTGGCCCAAGATAGATGGCAGTTTAGAAGCTCATATCACATCCTGAGAAAACACATGATAACCCCAGAGCAAACTTCACTCCATAAACTAAATTAGAATTACCAAATGAATTATGATGAGACAACCCCAAGTTCCCCTTAGTGGGAGCCTGATTTTATTTTTTAAGCTCATACTCACTGGCATTTTCCCCCACTACATCCCACCCATGCTAGCCACTCTGCTGTGTTCTTAATTCTCAAATTACTGCAATGAGGAGTAGGTATTTTTATTCCTGCTTTAAACACAAGGACCCTGAAATTTCCAAGAAGGAAGGTGTCTTATTTGCAAAGCTCAAAAGTAGTGGAGGCAGAATTCAAATCCAGGCCTGTCTAGTCCAAAGCCCAGGCTCTCACTATTAGGCAGCACTGCCTTAGATTTCCTCCAGAGTTAGAGACAAACAGGTTTGAAATTCAATCATGTCATTGGTCATCCTCAAAGATCATTCCAAAGCAAACAGAAGACAGGCACATCAAATGATGTTAGAAATTAGTCATTTAATTTTATGGGTAACTTCCACTGACCTTTCACAATGGCATACAGGAAAGGGGGCAGTCATATAAAGGGAGTAGAGATCCTATGGAGATTCCAGCTTTGTTACTTTCTAATTCTGTGAATTTGGGCAAGTCTTCTGCCCTACCTGGGCCTCAGTTTCCCTTCCACTAGAGTCGTAGTAGCTGGAATTTTTGTTCTTTAGGTTATTAGCATTGCTAAAGAAACGTTAATGGGTTTGCTCATGCATACAACTCTTAGGTGCATGCCCACTCAGGCCACATTCCCGGAAACTACGGCCTGGAGCGGAGAGTGAGGCTCTGGCATCCTTACTGAGCAACACTGCCCCATGGGCAAAAGGAATTTTCTTCTCAGAAATCGCTTATCTACAGGTGTCACTACAGAGTAACATGACTGATATTTAACAAATCTCGAAGAGTGAATCAGATGGTTTCTGTTTTTTTTTTTTTGTCTTTTTCCTTTTTTATCGGTACCGGGGATTGAACTCACGACTGCCTGCTTGCAAGGCAGGCGCTTATGCCGCTGAGCTAAATCCCCAGCCCCTGGTTTCTGTTTTTTTGGAGATTCAAGGAGGCCACATCATCACAGTGGTGTAGCCACAATTTGCATGACTCTTGAGAAACGCGTGCAGTACTTGTATTGTTTGTATCAGGCTCATTTGAACTTTGCAGTCAGAAATTTTAAGATGTATTTGGTTTTTTTAAAGAAATATAGTTATATTAATGATCAAAATGCTGTAAAAGGCCTAGCACTCTTGGTGTTCTGAATGGAAGTTCTTAGCAGAAGAAAATTCCAGAAATGTTTCAGATAGTGGGAGACTTGGGGAATGACACAGGATTTGAAGGGGCCCTCCTACAAGGATGTGCAAACCCTGTGCTCTATGTGCCTCCACACCAGCCCCGCTGTGGTGTGACACCCTGGTCCTCTGGCCTCTTCTAAGGTAAGTCTTCTTCTCTTACAAGGTGATACCAGATGACTCCTCTGCAAGACCAGGTATAAGAAGGTGGCCATCTCATCTATCTCCCCAGTGTCTCCTAGGACTCACAGCTCTTTTGATGATGTTTTTAGAGGGCAGAAACCTAAGCCATTCTTTACAGATATTATCTTGGTTTGCTGGTGCTCCAAAGTTTGACTCTGAGACCAAGCTATATAGTGTAATACTAAGAGCCAGCCGCTGACTTTGGTAATGCAGAAAAAGTAACAGGGACCTCAGGGCAGGGAAGGCCAATCATCTGTGGAATCACTGGCTCTTTGTAAAGCTCCTGGAACCCAGGTTTGGGTTTGGCCTGCCACCCCTGGCGGAGGGGCAGGAAGACATGTGGCCTGAATAGTACTAAACGGGTACACACTCTAACAGCCATCCTTTCCTTCTTTACACAGTTGAAGATCCATTTTAAAACTTACCACAGTTCTCTATGAGCTTCAGAGGCAAAAGGATAAAAATAAGCCGCCAATTCTTTATCATGTTCCCTGATTTCTCAGAACTAGGAGGAAAAACAAACAGCAAGAAAATTCATGTTAAGGTTGAATCAGCTCATCCTAGGTGGACAATGTGCTATCAGGAACCAAGGCAACTAGACAGACCATAAAGAGCTTTCACTTCACACTTGGGATCACACAGGTTTTGCCTCCTCTTTTCGATCTCACATCTTCAGAGAAGGGGACCCAGAGAGGTCTTATCTTTCTTTGATTATAGGGAAGTGAGTTATGTAAAGCCACTCTTGAGGAAGTGAACACAAACTTGAATTTTTCCTTCTTCAACTGCTTCAGCAAAAGTTTTCCTCCTCCCAAGGCTAAGACATCCTAGGAGAAAGACTCTAAGTAGAGAAAGATGCTGACAGATAAGTTCATTAAAATGCTTCAGAATATCTGATTAAAGATCATATACAGCTAGTGGCCTATGAAACCGATAAAACTGAAACAGCATTTCAGACGGTGGACTCCATCTGGCGTGGCCTTCTTCCCAATGTAAGATCTATCTTTCAGGCCTCATTCAGATGTCACCAGTTATCAAAGCCTCTCCCATCCCCACAGTCCCCTTCTGGATGAGTCTGGAGTGAGGCATCTCTGGTGGCAACTCCCCTCTGTCAGGATTTGTGTTGGTCCTTTCCTTTGTCCTCCCACCAGGACTTCCTGAAGAGTAACAGCTGGAGAAGGGGTGTATGCTCGGCAGATAGAGTGAGAAGGTTCAAACCTGAGTCCCCGTGTTTATTAGTTGTGTAACTTTTTAAAAATGTAACCTCAGTTTCCTTATGCATAAACAGGGATGGCGGTAACTGCCTCAGAAATGGGATAAAATGAAAACCGTGCATTTTCAAAAGGGCTAAACTTGGATTTTGGGGAAATGAGAAAAAACTTAAAATACTACAATATTCTGCAGCTCTCAAACCACTATACATAAGCAATAAGGGCCATAATATTTATGCAAATACAGTTTATCGTCAGCATTAAAATCTCAAGAGGAGATGGGCTGATAAGGATAAATTAAGGGTGAAGAAATACTGCATGTGTGATGTACTGTGATTCTAATGGTGTCAAATGCACTTATGAAGCAGTTATTTTTCTCAGTCTTAATGAAAGGATAGGGTCCACGCATTCTCCCCTCCTCCAGTCTCAGAACTCCAGATGGCAAGGTGGGACTCTCTTCTTGCCTAGTGTTCCGGAGTCTAGCACTGGACAAGTCAACCAGAGCTTCTCTCAAAGAATCGCCTGTCAAGCGCTAGGCGTGCTCTCCAATCCAGATTCAGATGGCAACTGAGCAGGAGGCTGGAAGGGGCTAGAACTACCCGGGAACACAGCCACCCACACCATCCTGACCACCCAGTGTCCCTGCCTCCGCTCGCCCCCATCCGGGCCCTTCGCATCAGGGGCTCTCCAGTGGTAGGAGATGGAACCCAGCGCGGCTGAGGGGGCCTGGAGCCGCGGCAGGTTGCCCCACCGATGTGCCAGGCCGGGCTCTGGGCCTCAGAGGTCCGCCGGGGAAAAGAGGAGAGGTTGTCCGGCGCCTGCTGGCTCTCACCTGAGATCTTCCCAGGATCCGGGGACCGACTTCACAAGACTTGGCAATCTCGCGCCACACACTTATACCGAGTGTACCTGATTTCCCCGGGCTAGGATGACTTTATGCGAGGGCGGGCCAGCTGTCACCTGACTCGAGTCACCTGACTCGTAGAAGCCCGATGTCTGCGCGAAGTCCTCTGGCAGTTGTAGTTTTTACGAGTCAACCAGAACTAGCCGGGCAGCGTTGCGGGGAGGGTAGAGAAGCGCAGGCGGCTTGGCAGAGATGGGAACCCCAGTGTGGAGGGTCACAAAGGCCTTCGCGGCTGCGGCATGAACTCTTTGCTCCTTTGGCATGCGAAAATACCCAAGTCTGGTAACCTCGGTCCTAAGGGGCGGGGCCTCTAGGTCCCGCCTTCTAACGCCTCTTTACCTATCCCGGGGCCAGTCGCGAGGGGTACGTGGGAGTAAGCTTCTCCAGCCAATGGGAAAAGGAGAGGCCGCCATGTTGAGTGTGGCAGGAGAAACCGGGTCAAGGCACCTCCCTCCCAGGTGAATCGTCCACAGCACGTGCAGCAGGTAGCCGGTCTGAGAGCTCCGCTAGTTGCTGCTGATATGGCTGCACAGTCTATCACTCTCGGCATCGACCTGGGCACTACGTCCGTGAAGGCAGCCTTGTTGGAGGACGCACCGAGCCACCCATCCGGGTTCGTGGTACTGGCGAGTTGTACCCGCCCCTCGCGAGCAGATACAGAGAGCCAGGCTGCCGTGCCCCAGGTGAGGCAGTGCTCCGGAGCCGCCGTTTCCAGGAGCCTCCGGACACCTCTTTTCTCCCAAGAGGCATCCTGCATAACAGATTCCTTTCGTAAAGAAATCTCCCAGACTGTTCCCGTCCGTCCGACCTCCGCCTAATCTGCTGGCGACACGCCCCCATTCCGGGGCCTCAGGGGTTCTGGGCCAAGGCGCTGGATCCTTATGTTTTCTGCTGTCCACTTTTTGCACCCTGATCTTGGAGGAATCGCTGGCTGTGAGCTTGTAGGAACCACAGACCTTCCTATCTCTTGTCGCTCAGGGTTTCTCGCGCCTGCCCTCGGGTTCAGAATCAGATCGTTTCCCAGGCAGTCTGGATTTTACTCCGGAAATCAGATGTAAAAGCAGGCCTGACTGACTCTTCCGAAGGCTCTAATGTAGTTCAAGAAACGCAAACACCTGATCGGTAAAAGTCTCCCAGCCCAAAAGGCTGAGACACATGAGAAGAAAGACATTAGAACAGATAGACACAAGAGATAAATCAATTAAAATGTTTTACAAAAATAATCAGGTCGATAGTTACACACTGCAACGAGTGGCTTGTGAAAGCTAAACGATCCAGGAACAGAGAATTTTAGGACAGCAGTCCCTTTAGGAAGATGAGTTAAATTCCTGGAAAGGGTAGCTTTATAAAGTTTGGCCGGTTGATAGTGGAAATTAGTATCAGAGAACTTTCTGCGTAACCTCTGATTTGTTCTCCGGATTTAAATGAGTGACGTTTTAGGCCTTTTCTAGCCACAATCTTGATTTTCTGAGCCAGGCTCCCACACTGGACCTTTGTTTTTCATAATCTCTTGCATAATAGGTGAACTCTGTTCTTTAGGGTTCAGAATCCAGCTTGGAAGCAATTTAGAAGATAAAAGATTTCAAGGGCACTTTTGCATTTTCATGGAGGCTTTTAAAATAGGTTTGGTTGGGCCAGCAGGGCATTTTAGAATAATTATTTCATATTGTAGACTATGAAATGGAGGCCCAGTTGGCTCCAAGCCTGTGAGTTGGTCTGCAGAGCTGGGATTATAGGACAGTGGGTGTTGAAGGGCCTTTTTCTCTTGAAATAGTCTAACACACTACTGTAGCTCCATGTCTTCTAGCTGTTTTCAGAGGGCTGTTTTTCTTTTCTTTCTTTCTTTCTTTCTTTTTTTTTTTTTGAGACAAAGTTTCACTGCAGTTAATGTAGTTTAGGCTGCTCTGGAGCTTACTTTGTTTTTTTTTTTTTGGAACCAGGGGTCGAACTCATGACCTTATACTTGCCAGGCAAGCGCTTATGCCGCAGAGCTGAATCCCTAGCTCACTTTGTAGCCCAGACTAGCTTCATATTTGGCGTGATTCTCCTACCTCAGCCTCCCTGTGTTGCCATACCTGGCCTGTAGGCTGTTTTCTGATTATAGTGACACCCAGCGTGCCACACCTGCCAATAAAAGGCAGTAATTACCCTCACCTCCCTTTCACCCTACACATACATACTATGCTTGGGGACAAATGGCATTACTGTGACTTCTCAACCTTGGCCCTGAGCTTTGTAATTCTTTGTTGTAGGGCACTGTCCTGTACACAAAGGATGCTTTGTTCATCTCTGGTTTCAATCCATTAGATAAAAGTAGCACCTCCTCTAAGATGTGACAAACAAAAATATCTCCTCATTCCCAAATATGCTCAGCTGAATCACCCCAGTGAGAGCCATCAGGCTATAGCAGCACCTGATGAATATATCCTTTCATCCTGTACGTCCATACCATTCACACCGTAAGTACTGTGTGCACCATGGCAGTGACACACATTTAGAAGTTTGCAGTTGAAAATACAAGGTATTTATTTTTCCTCTTGTCTTCAGTCTCAGCTATGAAAAGGGATGCAGGGATGAGAAGGGTTGAATGAGTTTCATTTTTTAAAAATTTTTTTGTCTTTTTGAGACAGAGTTTCTCTATGCAGTTCAGGCTGGCCTTGAGCTCACTTTGTAGGCTAGGCTGATTTTGAACTCTCAAGGATCCTCCTGCCTCAGCCTTCTGAGTGCTGGGATTACAGGCGTGAGCCACCACGCCCGGCTCCTTTTTTGTTTTTTGTTTTGTTTTTTGAGTTTCTAAACACATTGTTTTTCTTTGATCTGGGTGTGGATCCACAAATATTCTGGTTAAGAAATGGCCAAAGCCTTTCCTTTATATCGTGGACATGCCCACTGTCTGTCCTTGGGCTACCCCTCTTCATCTTACTCCCCTTGAAAACTGAACTTGACTGGCAACACTGCTTCCTTCTCTGTAATCCTGTCTGGCCTGTTTCCCTCCCAAATCCTCTCCACCCACACAACTCACCCACCCTGGGCCCATTTTAAACAGAGGTTCCTCTGTCCTGGGGTGATGCCCCATCTGATAGCCGCATGGGGACTCTAAGCCAGCATTGTCCAATGGCTGTAATTTTCCAGTAGCCATTTAAAAGAAGCCAAAGGGATAGAGTGAAATTCATTTTAATTACATATTTTATTTAATCCAATGTGTATGGCACATTATAATTTTGATGTATCATAATCAATAGAAATTTACTAGGTTGGACATGGTGGTACCTACCTGTAATCCCAGTACCCGGGAGGCTGAGGTACAAGGATCACTACAAGTTCGTGGCCATCCTGGGCTACATAGTGAGTTCAAAGCTAGCTGAAGCTACGCAGTGAGATCCTATCTCAAAACAAAACAAAACAAAAAACCCAAATACTGTGCATTCTTTTATCCATCTTTTCTTTTTTTTTTTGTACCTGGAATCAAACTCATGACCTTGCACTTGCCAGGCAGGCACTTATGCCACTGAGTTAAATCCCTGGCCCTACTTTTATCCATCTTATATCTGAAATCTGGTGTGTATTTTCCACTTCATCTCAATTCAGACTAGCTGCATGTAGCCGGTTACTGAATTGTACAGTGTGGGTTTTTCTTGCTGTCTGGGGGTCATGCATAGCTGCATTCCTCCTCTGTGCTTTCCTTTTTTTTTTTTTTTTTTTTTTCCCTCTGTGCTTTTCTGACTCCCAGTGCCCCGCTGGTTTGCCTGGTGCCTCTCCCACATAGGCCCTGGAGCTGCCCTTCAGGAAAATGCAGTTTCCTCTCTGTTCTTTCTTTCTTGCCTTCTTTCTTTGTTCATGTTTGTTAGGAGCCAAGAATTGCCTTGAACAAGGCCAGCAGGTTTGTTCCAAAGAGTGCAGGGAATCAGGGGCCTCTTGGTCTTTGAGTGGTTTCCCAAGGCTGTAAGCTTTTTCAGTTCCTCAAGGAATCTATGTTTAGTGAGAGCTGATCCATGTTGCTCTTCCCCTTTTCTGAATGTTCCACAGGTCCTTCCATTTGCTAAAGAATAAGTTGATTTCATGCCTTGAGGTGATTTTTTTCGTATCCTGTAAACAGGGTGTTTTGGGTGAAATAAGTAATTTATGAAATTCAGAACCTTAATTTTGACTTAAGCTTTTAAATTTAACTTATAGAATTTATTCCTTTAATAAATAATATTTAAAAAAGAAAGAAGTCTAACAAAAAGGGGCTGGGGATTTAGCTAAGTGGCATAAGCGCCTGCCTTACAAGCAGGCAGTCGTGAGTTTGATCCCCGATACCGATAAAAAGGAAAAGGACAAAAAAAAAAAAAAAAAAAGAAATCTAACAAAAAAGCCCAACTAACACTTTAACCATCATTTGCAAAGCCTTTGGCTAATATATCTGTTGTCGCTGATTAAATACCTCATACCCACTCCCCTTAGTTGTTTGAGTCAGGGCCTCACTGTGGGTCAGGCTGGCCTTCAGATTGGTCTTGTCTCTGCCTCTTACTGCTGGGATCACAGGTGTGCACATCATGCTTGTCTCTCCTTAGTTGTTTTAAACTGAAGTTATACACTTGATCTATTTTCCAGCTTAAGTACTGCAGTTTGTTCAACAATTCAGGTTTAGAAACTAGGCTGGTAGTTTAGCTCAGTGGTAAAACATGTGGTGGGTTTAATTCCTAGCATCAACTTTGTGCCTCCCTCAAACAAAACAAAACAAAACCAAATACACAACAGCAATAACAAAAATTTTTCGAAACTCCCAAAGTAAAAGGACATTATTTGAGGTCTTGGGACTTGTGAATTGGGAGACTCATGCTCAGCTAGCTTTGAACAGTGTTCTAGAGAAGGTAGGGAAGTGGGGACTTAAATGGGCAAGCTGTACAAAGTAGTAACGACAGGCCTTTGCAGGAATTTCTGTTGAGATGAGAAAGAGCAACGTGGTATGGCAGGAGGCTGTGGGACTGAGAGAAGATAATGTGAGTAAATATTTAGTAACGCTGCTCCTAAAACTGCAGTCGGAGAACTGATGGAGATGCATTTTGCATTTCTTGGCACAGCGTAATTACCGTGTGTTCCAGAGCTTGCAGTCACAGAGGGGAAGTGATCAACATCCGCATCCCAGGACACAGGTTAAATAAACCATGTGCAAATCTTTCTGATGCCTCCCCACAGTTTTGAAAAACTCTTTTAGTGTTCATATCATTGTGATTTTTAAAAAATATTCAAATTAGTCTGACAAATGTTTTCAGAATACGAAAGCAAATAAATTATATAAACATATACTCAAGGAAAGCTTTGGTGTTCTTACATATTTTAAACCCTCTCATAAGTGTAGTAGAGATTTGAATTTATAATTGTAAATTTAGATCTGTTGCTCAATTTCAGTTTAAACTGCAGTTATGAAGGCAGGCTAGGCCAGATTTTCTCTCTCTGTCTCTCTGCCTCTGTCTCTGTGTTTCTCTCTGTTTCTCTCTTTTGAGACAGGGTCTCGCTATGCAGCTCAGGCTGGCTGCAAAACACGGTAACCCACGCTAGTCTCGAACTCAGAACAATCCTTTTGCCTCAGCCTCCTGAGTGCTTGGATTGCAGGTGTGTGTCACCATACCTGGTTAGACAGATTCTCTTAAGCATACAAATTTACTTAAAATACTAAGTACCCCAAGATTCCTTAAGCATAAATATTAATAGCACAGGTATGATTCTTTTAAATATGAGTAGATATTTAATTCTTGATCTGTCGATTTTGAAATTTACTTATCAAAACAAGTATGGCAACTGGGTTGCTTTCCCAAGTGAAGATTTTATGGTGACTTTTTTAGCTTTTTAAGGTTTAGGGGGTTAGATTCTGCCTGATGCCCTTGCATTCACCAGGTTCTCTGTGCTGTATTCCCCGATCATCTTCCTCCATGTGTATCTGTTCTTTTAGTTTAAATTGCTCAGCCCATGCACTTCCCTGCCATATTTGGGGAGGTGTTCGCTGATCTCTAACAAAGGAAAGATGCTGTGAAGAAAGGCTCCTGTGCTCTAGGATGAGCCCCAGTATTCTGGGCACCTTCAGGAATGGGATAGAACTGTGGGATCCTAGTTAGGGTCTATAACAGGGGTTAATTATTGAAAGGATAAGGTGGTCACAGAACCCAGAGTTCTTAGGTTTATTCCATCATGGCCTACGTTGGAGTGGGGTCTGTAATTCTTACCCATCTGGAGTATAGCTTGATTGGAGTTGGCATTACTTCAAATTAAGATATCAAAATGTATTTCCCCCACCTAACTCCGCAGACCCAATTTGAACTTCTCTAACTTTTTATTCCTGTCTCTTAGTGTTACAGGGGTGATATCAGAACTTCCAAATATTATAAAGGATATATTATAACTCCCAAACTGTTAGATGTCTCATACGCCAAGTTTGTGTTCTCTAAAAATCAAGGAATGAATTCTGGGAACAATGGTATTTATTGAAAGGGAGAGATATAGTCCTGAGGGGCAGGAGGGGGCCCAAATTGGTTTCCAGGGACACAATTGTACAGAGAAATTTTACAGAGCAGTACCCATGTGGATATGATTTGGGTTACAGCCATGATTCGTCAACCAGTAAACAAGTATAGTAGCTTAGGTGATAGCAATCCAATGGGGAAACCAGTCAGGTGACAAGGGTGCCGGGAAAGAACAAAGACTTTTTCTAGGAAGTGATGGGTCCAGAGGTCTTGGTCACCCACTAGGGTGACTGATGTCTATCTAAACTTCATTAGGCCTGGTGTTTGTCCTTGGAGGAAGTATTTGGGTCTGGTCATGTGGTCTTTATTTTGAGGCTTCATTTCCAACAGATGTGTCTCCAGCCACAGTTGAGATGTGTTTCACTTTTGTCCTGGCTCTCCTGAGGTCCTAGCCTTCTCTGACTGCCTACAATATTTCTACCTGGTTTACCTGCCTGTAATATTATTATTAGGACCACTTTTTTTTCAGATGTTAATAATGTGATGTAATATTATATTAAAACTGCTTGATGCACAGCTCCCTCCCCCTTTCTCAATTTTAATCCAGGGCCTCATGAATGCTAAACTCAGACTCTACCACAGAGCTACAACCCTAATCTATCTTTAAAAAAATAGGATCAGATTATTTATTTTTTGTTTTCTTAAGAGATGGAGTCTCCGTGTAGCTCAGGACTTCTGGCGTCAAATGATCCTTCTCCTTCAGGCTCTAGAGGAGCCGGCAGTTGCAAGTGTGGGGGACCATGTCTGACTTTGCCTTTCAAGGTTAGTCTGTCTAGGGAAGTTATCAGGGAGAGAGGAAGTCAGGAGGAAAGGCTTCTCGGGAAAAAATGGTCCTGATTTTTTTCAGTTTTTTTCTCCATCTCTGATACTATCAGTTTCTCTTTGTGTAACTGATGTCATGGTTCAATTAATGTTCTGGAAAGATCTCTGATGATAGTACTTTGTCTTTCATAGTGCTCTTGGGGCTCCTGTTACCTACAGAAAGAGTCCCTTATCTTGGGACCATAGTCCTTTGGGCCTTCTAGTGGCATCTTTTTTGTGTTGTAGTTCACAGAATGGGAGCCCTCAATGATGGCAAGGTTTTTGTGTGGTGAAAAATGTAGTTTAAAGGAAATAATGAAAAGGCAGGGTCAAGAACCTTGATCCTCCTTTGGGAGCACATGGAATGGCTGTCTCTGGATCTTACATGTTTTAAGTTGCAAGTTGGGTATGTGTCTGTAGTCCCAGCTACTTGAGAGGCCGAGGCAGGAAGATTGAGCCTAGAAACTTAGGATCAGCCTTGGGAACCAGGTGACATAGGGAGACCTCACCTCTTAAGAAAAACAACAACAACAAGCCAGACTACAAATAGAACACAACCATCTTCCAATCCCCACTTGAAATCATATCATCGGTGTCAGAGAAGACGAAGGAATGTAGCCATATGTGAAGAGATTATTGGCATGGGGTAAAGTCTGTCCCTCGGGCTCATTCAGATTACAGAGAGAATCATTTTACAAGATAATATCTGTCTCCCCCTAAGTACTATTTAAGACTTCTCAAAGTTCTCCACTTTCCTCACTTTCCCCTGCCATGTAGAGGAAGGATCTCATGAGCATCATAAGCATCGGGATCACAAGGAGCCTTGGGTATCACGTTCCTGTGACATCTCTCCACGCTGTGTTTTTGCTTTGTACGCGTTAATAAATCTATATGATTGTCTCTTACTTATCTGCCATCGTCAGTTCATACCCATGAACCTGGACTAGAGGGGAAGGGAAGGGAAATTTCCCTTTGCTCCTACACCTGCCAGCTCCTGCCTGCTGCACTGTACGTCTCACTACTCCTTGTGCCTTATGAGAAAGATCCTGTTAGATGTCCCTGATTGCTGGCACGGAGCAGGAGCAGTGTTCTCTCATAGACTTGCACAGTGGAGAACGGGCCTGGCCCACTTGCTCATCCTCATCTTCTCCAGTGCCTCATGGGTGAAGGCAGGAAGTGTCCCTCGCTGGCCACCGGCCTATCCCAGGCAGCAAATTCTCAGGTCCACATCTCACCTCAGAGGCCACAGAGGAGGCCTGGGAAGTGACCCTGGTGGACTGAGCTAGCAAATCCTCATGGCTTTGCTTGTTTGTGTTCCCTGCCCAGCATGTCCCGTTCTGTTTTCAGGGGCGGGAGCAGGATGTGAGTAGGATCATCCAAGCCCTGAACGAGTGCCTCGCTGCTCTTCCCCAGCAGCAGCTCCGGAAAGTCAAGGCCATTGGAGTGTCGGGACAGATGCACGGCATCCTGTTGTGGGAAATAAGCCAAGGTATGCTGGGCTCAGGTGATGGCCTTATCTGCTGTGTGGGAAGAGGGCCGAAAAACACCGTCCACGCAGGACCAGCTCATCATGCCTGGGGACAATGTCTTGTTCCTCAGAAGGAGATAACTTTGCTGCTCCCATATTTTGTGCAGAGTTTGTGATGCAGTGAACTGCTCACAGCAGCACTTGCTGTATGAACAGGCAGGGGAGGAGTGAACCCTGTCTGCTTCCTCTGATGATTGGTGGAGTGGAGTTTTTTTGAGACAGCTTCTCACTACATAGTCCGGCTGGCCTTCAACATGCAGTGATTCCCCAGCCTCCCAGCTGCTGGAATTACAGGCTTGGAGTGGATTTTTCTTTCTTTCTTTTTTGTTTTTTAAAAAATATTTTATTATTATGAAGGTAGTAAAATACAACAGAACAAGACAGAACAAAGCCAGTTGGGACAGTGCAGTGAAAGAACTTCACAGCAGGTTACTGAGATAACAGTAATAGGTACCATAGTATATCTCATTATCTTCACAATAGTTGTTCTTTCAATCAGGTATAGCAAAATAAAATAAAATACAAACATTACAGGACTTATCAAAACAGAACATTGAATAGAGCAATGCCATTAATCAGAACAAAGCAAAACAGTGATGAAAATGTTTGCCTTCAAAGAGATGGTAGAAGGAAATCTCCCTTATTTGCTATATTGTATATGGTCAGCCTCCCAAGAGATGCTCAGATCTCTGGCTCCCACTTGCTAAAGGGGGTGGGGTGGGGTGGGGTGGTGTGGAGGGTGGGTGGGGAAGATGGGATGTTTGATTCTCAGCCTGCACACTGGTAGGCTCACAGCTGCTTACCAGGGAGGCAAGCTGGTTGCTTGGTTTCCCTGTGCCCTAAGTTCCAGCATGGTGCGGATCTCAGGAGATGCTGGTGGTTTTCACCCTGGGGCAGCTGCAGCTTGCCGGGCCACAGTGGCTTACCAGGGAGGCGAGCTGGTTGCTTGGTTTCCCTATGCCCTAAGTTCCAGCATGGTTCGGATCTCAGGAGATGCTGGTGGTTTTCACCCTGGGGCAGCTGCAGCTTGCCGGGCCACAGTGGCTTACCAGGGAGGCGAGCTGGTTGCTTGGTTTGCCAGCACCCTAACTTTGGAGTGGATTTTCTAAAGCTTTGCCTTTCTTGGTGTTAGTGTCTCATAACATTAGTGCTGACAGCCATAAGATTAGCTGTAACTACTAAATGGCCAAGACCCAGAGGCAATTCTTCAGAATTTGATTCTAGTTTTTGTCCTTTATTTAGTTATTGGTGATTTTTCAACTCCAGGAGTACCGTGGGTCAGTTGCAAAGTGTCACTGAGTTGGCTGTGTGTTGTAGGAGTGCTATAGTGCGGAGGAGGATGACTTGTTCTGTTTGGCTCTCAGGAGGAGTCCAAGCCAGGAGAACAACAGCAGGCACCTCACAGGCCAGGTGCCAGGCTAAGGTGTTACCTGCATGACCTCATCCATATTTCCCAACAGCCTTAGGATGAAGGTGACTGTCACTATTGTGTGGATGAGGAGCAGAATTTCAGAGGGTTTCGAATGATATGTTCGGGGTCACATGGCAGCAGGTGGTGACTCCAGCATTTGAACCCAGATTGGTCTGGCTGACTTCGGAGCCTGCAGGAGGGCACAGTGGCTCAGGGAAGGGAAGGACCTCCTAACAGATTGACCAAGGGAGGGTGAGGCTCTTATAGGAAGTCATGAGCTCCCTGGAGTGCTAGGCATTAGCATTTTCAAAAATTATAACATTTTATGTATAGACATAAAAAAGTAGGGAGAGCGGTATTATGAACCAAAGTGTATCCACTACAGCATTTGAGTGTAGATTTATTTTTTAAGATTGAGATCTTACCCTGTGGCCCCGGGGTGATCTTGAACTATTGGCCCAAAGTGGTGATACTGCCACAGCCTCGTGAGGAACTGGGATTACAAGTGTGCATCACTGTACCTGGCGAGTACTTGTGCTTTTAGTGGAAGGAGGATGGCTACCTCAGGGAGGTGTGTCAGGGAGATGAAGCATGAGGATGGGAATGTTGAATCTTCCTCTTTCTGCCTGGAGAGTCAGTGACTGTAGTCCCCTGGGTCAAGGGAGCAGTGACTGACTCTGTGGCTGGTGTCTAGTGATGTGTAATTCGATCATGCCTAGCACAGGGCTGGATAGCTGTGGAAGCCGACACAGGTTTTCTGCCCTTCTTCCCTCTGCCATCTGCTTGTCGTCAGGCCAGTGCAGACATCGGAGCAGTTTGGCTCCCGAAATGGCAGGAGCAGAAAGCGGATCATGGCGTTGGAGTTGACCTTTCAGAGGAAGCTAGGTTAGAAAAGCTTTTTAAACTCCTTAATTCTGCATTAATGAGAATGAATGTTCTTTTAATACTAAAGCCCTTCCCAAAGAGGACAGCAGAGATCTAATGATTGTGGTCTGCTCATACGCCTTCCTTTCTGTCCTTCTCCTGGACCAACCACACAAACCAGCAGCTACATCGGTGGAAAGAGCTGCTTAATATTTCATTGAGCCGGCTCCGTATTTCTTGTTTTGTTTTCTGTTTCTGGGAAGGAGGAAGGCTGCTGTTCACTGATGATGATTCCTACGTGGTGAAGCTGAGTGAAGTCAGATTTGGGATCAAATCATGCCTTTTTAAATGGTAGCCTTAATTCAGTTTGGCTTCAGTACCTACAGTATAAAAGGCCCCGTGCTAGGCCCTGAGGGAGAATGAGCAATGAGTGGATGGAGCCTCTACCTTCCAGAACGTGGCAACACAGCCTGGCACCTGTAAACACGAGTGGAGAGCTGAGTGCTTCAGGGAGCATATGGGCAGGCAGGTTGGAGGAGAGGGAGTGATTAGTATTTTCCAAGAGGCCTGTGGTTGTGCTTGTTTGCAGATTCCATTTTCAGGCTCAGTAAAAATGGGCAGAAAAACAGACCATAAAATAAAACTAAAAGCTGGGTAGCACATTGGAAGAAATATTAGCCGGTGTAGAGAGACAAAAGACAGACATCAGTATGAATAAAGAAGGAGTAACAAAGAAAGGACCAGGGGGCATAGAATCCCAACAGGCAGTTCTTAGGAGAGGAAATATAGTGGCTCATAAAAAGAGGAGATGCTCAGTGTCATTAGTAATTAGAGAAGTGCAGAAGAGAGCAGCAATGAGAAATCATTTTCCACCGCAGATTGTAAGCAAATCAGAGTCTGGGCCTGTCAAGGGCTATAAGGGGAGGGGGGCGGTTTAAATGCTGCTGGTGCTGGTGTGAATTAGTAAGCTGGAGGGCAGTTTGGCAGAGCCTATTGCAATACGGTGGTTGCTATGACTCTGAGTTTTACCTGGAATCTGTCCACGGAAAGTGCTGGAAAACGTGGGCGGGAGGTTGCATGAGCATGGCCCTTCACTTTCTCTTTGCTTATAGTAGCAAAAATGTGACCTTTATCTGAAGTAACTGCTGGCAGGTCCTTGTTATGGAATGACATGCAAGATACTCAGGTGTACCGACACACAAACAACTGAAGAAAGTACATTAAAGACTATTTAAAAACAGCTAAATCCTCCATGCGCAGATTAATTCAACAAAACAAAACATGTATCAGCATAAAATCTCTGGACAGACACCTGCGAACCCTAGGAAGGGAGCTGTGACCAGGTAGGGGAGGGGAGAGCAGGGCCTTTGTCTACAGTGCTATTTGAAGATTTCACATTGGGAATGTGTCCACTTCTCATATGTTAAAAGCTTTTAAAAAGTGCATCAATTCTTTATTAAAATGAAGAAAAGAAAGGTGGAAGATGAGTAACATCGTGGAATGCAGTACTTAGATTTAAATCTGGATTCTAATACTTATAAACTGTGAATTTGGGTAAATTTTAAAAACTTCATGCTTAGTTTTTCCTATGTGTTTTTCCCCTAACTTATGTGGGAATGATCATCACGTTGCCTTATAGTGTTACCATGGAGATTAAATAAGCGAATATTTCTAAAGTCTTCAAACCACACTTGCACATTTATCACTTGCACTGCATTTTATAATAAAATTATAGCTCAAAATTTTTAAAAAAAATTGAATCAAAAGAGTTTTGGAAGTAGACAAAGCAGTTAAAAAAGCTAGTGGTCCAGCTTTAGGGCTAGGGTAAGTGTCTGAGCCTTAGATTTAGATAGAAATGAAGCTGTGGGGAAAATTACTCCCAGAGGAAGCCCTGCACTTCCTCCTGCCTCCTCCATCCTGTCCTCTGCTCCAGGTGAAATTTAACATGAAGCCTTTATGTGCAGTTTTTCTCTTTGCTGTGCCAGGTGTGACCAGGGGTACTAACCAGTGATTTCTTGACAAGGTCCCTTGAAGCCTTTGTCCTCACTCTTACATCTATCTGCAACATGTGTCCCCAGTTATTAAGGGTAATTTCCCTAATTTATTCAGGTCCCTCCATACCTGTCACCTTGAAGAAGACCTGAATGATGTAGAGGAATGATGTGACCATCTTAACAGCCCGTCACTCACCCCTTAGCTGCACGTTTTTCATAGTCACTGAAAGTATCTGGTCCTGTATGTTTGTGTGTTTATATTCCATCTTCATTTCTATCACACCAGCTCCATGAGGGCACTGGCTTTCTGTTGTTCACTGTTACATTCTCAGAGACTAGAACCAATGCCTAGTATACACTGACTACTCAATAATGTGTCACACAGCCATGCATGGCTGTGTTAAAGAATGGTTAGGTGCTTCATGCCTGGAACGAGGTGGAGAGGGGCAGATAAGTCTCTTTCTTTGGGTCTTAGAGGAAAGATTTGCAGGAAAGTATAATGACCGTGGTACCCAGTCTGGGATCTGATATGGGACACATTGTTTTCTTTTGTGGTATTTTCCCTGCAGTGGGTGACGTTCTCATCTCCATTCAGCAGACTTGGGGTGTCCTCAGGTGCTATTAACTTATTTTGGGCTTCAACTTAGTATTAGCTTTCTTTCCTCATTTTGCTGCAGTGGTTGTATTTATAC